GGACCCGCACCGACGCGCGGCGGAACCCGTCGTCGACCCACGCAGCCTCGCGGACTGGCGGAGCTGTGCCGCCGCCTCGTCGCCTCTTCCGGCTCGGCCTCCCGACTGCGTCCGTCTCACAGCCGACCCAGATGCGCACAAACGCAGCGACGGCCATTGTCCAGCTGCCGCCCCACGTGTCGAGGCCGCTGTCGCGGAGCCGACGCAGCAGCGGCGCCTGCCTCTCCTTGATCAGCCGCCGGAGCTCGGCCCGCTCCTCCTCGCCCGCCATGTCCCAGTCCGCGCGGGGAAGGGCCTCGAGCCGCACGACGTCTCCGAGATCCAAGACGCCGCCGTCGCTCGGCCCGCAGTCGGCCGCGGCCCAGACTGGCGAGTGGTCCGACCTCTCCCAGCCGTCTGACCCGTGCAGCACGGAGAGCGGCCCACAGTTCTCCGTCCCACACTGCGACACTCGCGCCGCTTCGTTTGCGACGACGAGGTCCAGCTGCGACAGCGCCGTCCACTCACCGCGGACGCGCATAAAGGTCGCGGCGTCGGCCAGCTCAGTCCCGCACGACGCGACGGTGCCGCTCTTGACAACGAGCCTAGTCCGCTCGAGCACGTCCTTGAAGCGGCGGCACCGCGCCGTCTCCGCTGCCGCGTCACCCACGAGACGCCGGTCTGACCCGCCCTGGGCCAACCGTAGCTCCGGCAGGTTGGAGTCGAACGCTGCGACGAAGCCGACGCCCAGTTCAGCCGCCTCTTCCGCCTGGTGTTCTAGTGCACGCAGGAAAGCAGCGTCGTCGTCGTCCGGCGCCCGATACCCCACAAGGTAGCGGGGCCCGTTCTCGTCCGTGCCAATGATGATCGTCGCAGTCTCCGAATCGTCGCCTGCCTCGTGGTCGAGGACGAGCGCCTCGACCTCGTCGGCGACGTAGATCGCGACGCCGCCGCCGATCACGGTGCCGGGCCCGCTGCTCGCGCTAGTGCGGTCGCGCCGTGCCACGAGCCGAAACCCAGGAATCGGGGGCCGATCGTCGGCGCGCATGCGCGTCTCCGCGAGCGCGACCACCGTGACCTTGCGGAACGCCTCCTGGAACCGACCCAGGAAGGCGGACAGCTCTGCGGTCTTGGACCGCAGACCGTTGATGTTGAGGAACATGGAAAGCACCGTGCTGACGCGCCCATTGTTGTCGCAGCCAGGCACCGTGCCGTCCTGTCCCTCCAAGTCACGCCGTGGCGTGACCTCAGCCACGCACGGACGAGTGCGTGTTCCGGCAATTCGCGCCGAACTTGCACCCGCCCTCCTGCCGGAAGTAGCGGCAGGCGACCGGTTGCCGCTTGCGCTTCTTGCCTTTCTTGCTCTTCTGCTGGCCACTGGCGCCTCCGCGCGCTCCTCGGCTCCGGCTCTGCCGCCGCGCGCTCCCGTGGCCGCCGTCTCCGAACGTGTCCGACCCGGGGTCGGTGACGTCCGACGATTGAGACCGGCGGCGCGCCGCGGACGCGCCCCGAGCCGCCGCGACCTCGTTCGCCAGCCAGTCGCCCAGGCCCGCGGCACCGGCGGCGCCGTTGATGCCGGGCCCGCGCCCGCTGCCGGCGACGGGCACGCCGCCGCTGCCGGAGCACCACGAGGGGATCGTCATCCCACGGCCGCGCCCGAGGCCGGCGGCGCCGCCGCTCCTCGGACTCGGAAGGCTGCTGCGGCCCCGCTCGCGGCCGTCGTCGCTGCCGCCACCCCGGGTGCCGCGCCGCCGCCCGTCGCCGTCGCCGCCGGACCCATGCCGCCCCGACGGGCGCCAGCCTTCACTGCCGGTGTCACCGTCGCGCCGCGGGTGGTCCCGGCGCGGGGAGTCGTCGCGGCGCCGGGCCGGAGGCCGCCGGTCGCGGCTCCGGGACCGCACGGCCCGGAAATCCGTGTAACTCACGCTGCTGTCACTGGCCGAGCTGCCGGGCGGGTACGACGCGGTCTCGCCGCAGTCGGAGCCGCGCCGTCGCGACCCACTCCGCCCGCCGCCGCCGCCGCCGAACCCGCGGCCCCGCGAGTCGCGCCGGTCTCCGCCGTCGCCGCCGCGGCGCCGCGCGCGGTCCCGGTCCCGCGAGCTGCCGCGGCTCCGCGCGCGGCCGCCGCGGACGCCCCCGCCCTCGCCGCCGGCGGCGCCGCGGCCCGGCTCGTCGTCGCTGCCGACGACGTCGCGGCCCCGCTCGCCGCCGCCGCCGCCGGACTCGCGGCCCTGCGAGTCGCGCCGGCTACCGCCGTCGTCGCCGTCGTGCCGCGCGCGGTCCCGGTCCCGCGAGCCGCCGCGGTTCCGCGCGCGGCTGTCGCGGCCGCTCCTGTCGCCGTCCTCGACGACGCCGCGGCTCCGCCCGTCGCCGCCGGATCCGCGGTCCCGCGAGCCGCGCCGGCTCATGCTGCCATCGTCGTCGCGCTGCGCGCGGTCCCGGCCCCGCGGGCCGTCGCGGCCCCCCGTGCGGTCGCCGCGGCCGTCCCCGCTGCTCATGACAAAGATGGCGCGGCTCTGCTCGTCGCTGTCGTCGCCGGGCCCCTGTTCCGCCGAGCCGCGCCGGCCTCCACCGTCGCCGTCGCCGCGCCGCGCGTGGTCCTGGTCCCGCGGGCCGCCGTAGTGCTGCGCGCGGCCGCCGCTGCCCTCGCCGTCGACGACGCCGCGGCTCCGCCCGCCGCCGCCGCCGACGACGCCGCGGCTCCGCTCGCTGTCGCCGCCGCCGGACCTGCGGTCCCGCGCGTCGCGCCGGTCTCCGCCGTCGCTGTCGACGCGCCGCGCGCGGTCCTGGTCCCGCGAGCCGCTGCGGCTCCGCGCGCGGCTGTCGCGGCCGCCTCCGTCCACGCCGTCGGCGACGCCGCGGCCCTTCTCGCCGCCGCCGTCGACGACGCCGCGGCTCCGCTCGCCGCCGCCGCCGCTGGACTCGCGGCCCCGCGCGCCGCGCTGGCCGCCGCCGTCGCCGTCGCCGCGCCGCGCGCGGCCCTGGTCCTGCGAGCCGCCGCGGCTCTGCATGCGGCCGCCGCCGTCGCCGACGACGACGCCGCGGCCCTGCTCGCCGCTGCCGCCGCCGGACTCGCGGTCCTGCGCGCCGCGCCGGCCGCCGCCGTCGTCGTCGCTGCGCCGCTCGCGGTCCCGGTCCCGCGAGCCGCCGCGGCCTCGCACGCGGCCGTCGCGGCCGCCTCCGCCGTCGTCACCGACGACGCCGCGGCCCCGCGCGCCGCCGTCGTCGCCGGACCCGCGGCCCCGCGCGTCGCGCTGGCCTCCGCCGCCGTCGTCGCCGCGCCGCCCGCGGTCCCGGCCCTGCGAGTCGCCGTGGCTCCGCGCGTGGCTGCCACGGCTGCCCCCGCCGTCGCCGTCGACGACGTCGCGGCTCCGCTCGTCGCCGTCGTCGCCGCCGGACTCGCCGTCCTGCGCGCCGCGCCGGCCGCCACTGCCGTCATCGTCGCGCCGCGCGCGGCCCCGGCCCCGCGAGCCGCCGTGGTCCTGCACGTGGCCGTCGCGGCCGCCTCCGCCGTCGCCGCTGACGACGCCGCGGCCCCGCGCGCCGCCGCCGCCGCCGGACTCGCGGTCCTGCGCGCCGCGCCGGCCTCCGCTGTCGTCGCCGCCGCGCCGCGCGCGGTCCCAGTCCCGCGAGCCGCCGCGGCCCTGCACGCGGCCGTCGCGGCCGCCCCCGCCGTCGCCGCCGGCGACGCCGCGGCCCCGCGCGCCGCCGTCGCCGCCGAACCCGCGGTCCCGCGAGCCGCGCCGGCCTCCGCCGTCGTCGTCGCCGCGCGGCCCGCGGCCCTGGCCCGGAGCATCGCCGTGCCACGGCCCGTGGCTCCCGGCGTCGTCCGCGGCCGCCACGGCGGGCTCCACGGCGGCGGTGCCGGCCTCCTCCGCGTGCCGGCCCAGGAGGGCGACGCGCAGGTCCCAGCCCACGTCTCCGTAGCGCGCCGACGCCGACGGCGCCGCGAGCGCGGCCGCGACGGCCGTGCGTACCGCGGGGCTCGCGCCGGCTCCGAGCGCGCCGTCGCCGAGCCGCTGCGCGACGAGCGTCGCGTAGCCGCCGTTCCGGAACTCCTCCGCGTAGCGCGCGATCATCACGACGGGGGCGACCGCGAGGACGGAGTGGACGTCCGTCTCGCGCGGTGCTGGCGCCGCGTCGGCGTCCGTCGCGTCGCCCATCGTTGCCATGAGCCACCGCGCGTACGCGACGATGTCGCTCTTGTTGCGGACGACGCCGGACTCCGCATTCGTGCTGAGGTAGACCGTCGGCTTCTGCTCCAAGAGGAAGCGGCACCCGTGCGCGGACCGATCCTGGTACGGTGCTTGGCTGACTCCCGCGGCGAGGCACTTCAAGACCTCCGTCGACGGCCCGTTCGGCGGCCCCCTGATCAGGATGTGTCGGATCCCAGGAGCGAAGGTCGCGTGATAGTAGAAGTAGCTCTGCTTCTTGCTGTTGGCGGACCCGGCCCGCACGAGCGGCTGCTTCTTCCTCGGCGTCGCGGCCGCGCGCCGCCTCGCTCCCGTCGGCGCGTCGTCGCCCTCCGAGTCCGAGTCCGAGGCGGGCTTCCGGCGCGGCCGCCGGCGCGTTCCGCTGCCGCTGTACTCCTTCTCGTAGGCGTCCTTCTTGCGTCCGCTGCCGCGGCTGCCGTGGCTGCCCTTGTCCGTCTTCCGCATCGCGGCGCGAACGGCACCCGGCGGCGCTGCCTTCGTGGTCACCGGAGTGGGCGGCCCCTCCTGGCTCTAGTAAGAGCCCGCACCGACGGCGGCCCCGACCCACCGCCCCTCGCCCAGGGGCGGCGCCTAGCTGCCAAGGTCGACTCCGCCCTGTCGCTCCGCCCCCTCGGCCTCAGCGCCCACGCCGACCGGGCTGCACGCTCCTGGCCCTCTCTAGGGCGCGATGAAACACGGGTCGACGGCCGGGGTGGCTCCGGGGCGCCCCACGCTCACTGCAGCTGCGCTCCTCCCATCGCTCCGACTGCAGCTGCTTACTGCTGGTGCATCATCTGTGCATCTTTGACCCCTCGAGAGGAGAGCGAAATGGCGGCCCTCTCGGAGAGCGCCTCGCCAGAGGCGGCCGCCTCGCCGGAAGCGGTCTTCCACGACGAAAAGCACGCGTCCTACCTCGTGGCCGTGTCGAAGAACACGGAGGCCATCGAGTTCGTGCTCACGGAGTACATGCGCATGAGCGGCGTCTATTGGGGCCTCACGGCCATGGCGCTCCTCGGCCGCGACGTCCACAAAGAGATGGACGGCGACGCCGTGGTCGCCTGGGTGCTCCGGTGCCAGCACCCCTGCGGCGGCTTCGGCGGCGGCGAGGGCCACGACCCGCACCTGCTCTACACGCTGAGCGCGCTGCAGATTTTGGCGCTCCTCGGCGCGCTCGACAAATGCGACGGGGCCAAGGCCGCGGCCTACGTCGCGGCGCTCCAGCAGGGCGACGGGTCCTTCCACGGCGACGAGTGGGGCGAGGTCGACACGCGCTTCAGCTACTGCGCGCTGAGCAGCCTGGCGATTCTAGGCGAGCTCTGGAACCGGTCGCCGCCGCTGATCGACGTCGCCAAGGCCGTCGACTTCGTGGACCGGTGCCGCAACTTCGACGGCGGCTACGGCGCCGTGCCCGGCGCCGAGAGCCACGCGGGCCAGATCTTCTGCTGCGTCGGCGCGCTCGCGATCGCGAAGCGCCTCGACCTCGTCGACGGTACCTTGCTCGGCTGGTGGCTCGCGGAGCGCCAGTGCGACAGCGGCGGCCTCAACGGGCGGCCGGAGAAGCAGGCCGACGTCTGCTACAGCTGGTGGATCCTGTCGTCGCTGACCATCCTCGGGCGGTCCCACTGGATCGACGAGGCGAAGCTCGCGGCCTTCATCCTCGAGTGCCAGGAGGGGGACGGCGGCGGCGTCGCGGACCGGCCGGGCAACATGGCCGACGTCTTCCACACCTTCTTCGGCATCGGCGGCCTGAGCCTGCTTTCCTGGTTCGACGGCACGGCCTACGCGGGCCGGCCGGCCATCGACCCGGTCTTCGCGCTCCCCGCGCCGCTCGTCGCGGAGCTCGGCCTCGAGGCGTCGGTCTGCCCCCGGGCGACGGCGTCCCTGCTCGAGACGTGGGCGCGCGCGCGCGACGAGGCGAAGGCGACGCCGCCGCCGTCGCCCTAGGCTAGAGCTCCCCGCGTAACCGCCCTAGGCTAGAGCTCCCCGCGTAGCCGCTTCCGCTCCTTCTCCTCCATGCGTTGCCGCGCGGCGCGGACCTTCTCGACCGCGTCGCCGTCGTGGGAGAGGATGTGGCGCGCGTGGACGGCCGGGAGCTTGGCGCCGCCCGCGATGGGCGCCTCGTTCTCCCGGTCGGGGCACATGAAGGCCGCGTGGGCCGCCGGGTCGAGGAACGTGGACCGGTTCAGCAGGAGGTGCCAGTTCCGCGTCGCCGCGGCGCGGTCGTAGGCGTACGCGCCCGCGGGCGCCGCCGGGTCGTAGAGGTGGACGAAGTAGCCGACGTCCAGGTCGTCGTCGGTGCGGCCGACGTGCTCGCGGCGGTGGACGATGGGGATGGAGCAGCACGCGACGGCCTCGTAGACCCGCCGACTCCAGGGCTGGTCGCCCGCGGGCGCGAGCGTGAGCCGGCTGTTGCAGAGCACGTCGAGGTACTCGCGCTCCTGGTAGACGAGGCGGTTCGTGATCGCCGCCGCGAAGGCCGGCAGCGGGCGGCCCGAGGGCAGGGCCGCGAGGTGCGCGAGCCAGTCGCCGCGGTCGCTCGAGTTCATGAGGCCGCGGCAGAAGTCCGCGCCGTTGACGCGCTTCGGGTTCCAGCCCTGGACGTTGAGCGTGTGGTCGAAGGGGCCGAGCACCTCGTAGAGCGACGTCTCCCAGTCCTCGAGCAGGATCTCCGTGAACTTGAGGAAGTCCGTGTCGGCAAAGTGCGCGCGCGCGAAGCGCGGCACCCAGCCCCGCTCGAGGCGCGTGACGGCGTCGTTGCCCCGCCCGCCGAGGAAGTTGAAGGTGATGGACTGGGCGTCCGGCGGCCGCGACTCGTGGATGGCCTTGATGTTGAGGAGCCACGAGCCCGGGAAGAGCGACGGCCCCGTGTTGCCCGGCATGCGCTCCCAGCCTGGGCAGCAAAAGGGTGATTCAAGTTCGCTTCAAAGTGAGTGTTCCGCGCGCGCGCGTTCCGAAAAAAGCATCCACGCTTCGAGACCGTTCCGAGAGATGATCGCTCGTCCAAAAATCAGCCGAAACGAGTGGAAAACGGCCGAGAAAGGAGCCTTTGAAGTTGGGAATTTCGCTCTCTTTTCCTGCCCTGCTCCCAGCCCAGGTCCCGGAGGCGGTAGAGGTACCAGTCCGGCAGGGCCCGGTCGGCCTCGGCGTGGGCGAGCTCGTAGAGCACGAGGGCGCCGAGGTCGTTGTGCATGGGGTCGAAGCGCTGCTGCGCCGCGAGGTACGCCGCGAGCAGGCTCGCCTGCGACGCGGGCGGCTTGCCCGCGTTCCGCGGGTCCTCCGGGCCGATGAGCAGCGCGGCGTCGGCGCCGAGGTAGGCCGCGGCGATTTCGGTGAGGTTCGCGCCCTTGGTGTAGCGGAGCTCCGCGACGGTGCCGTCGCCGCGGCTCACGGGCACGCGCCGCGCGAGCTGCGCGTCGACGAGGGCGTCGCCGGCGTAGGCCTCGCACTCGGGGATCTTGAGCGACAAAAACACGAGCGCCGAGCACTCGTTGGACGTGCAGCCGTTGCCGAGCATGGACGGCCAGTGGTCCATGAGCTCCACGAACTCCTTGGCCTTGCGGCCGCAGCCCCAGGACGGCTTCACGAGCACCGGGTACGTGCCGTCGTCGATCTCGACGTCGTAGCGCTGCCACTGCTCCTCGCCGAGGGCGCAGACGGCGACGCAGCCGAGGACGCGCCGCAGCGACGCGCGCATGGGCGGAGGAGGCTGCTAGAGTATCACCATCAACCAATGTATACGTTCAACAACGGCTCAATGAAGATATGGGGCGGCTTTGTTCTCTTGGGCTGTCCAACAACAGGAGAGCACGACGTTTTGGAGCGCTTCGGCGCGAAGCGGCGATGTCGCTCTCGGACAGCGACTCCGTCGGCGCGGAGTCGCCGCTGTCGCGGAACGCGCAGCAGATGTACGACCTCGTGGAGACGCGCAAGCGGGCCATGCTCCAGTCGAAGAGCGAGCCGACGCTGCCGTCGCAGCGGCGGCGCCACGCGGGGCGCGGCGACCAGTGCGCGACGCTGCAGCTGCCCAAGCTCGCGAACGCCGACGAGGTGCGGCAGCGGGGCGGCGCCGGCGGCGGCCACGACGCGGGCGGCCGCGGGCCGGATCGGCTCCGGCGCCGCGGCCGCCGGTCGCCGCGCGGCGCCGCGGCGCCCGCGGCCGCGGCGCCGCCCGCGGCGTCGCTGCCGTCCGTCGCCGGCGCCGAGGCCGACGAGGACCACGCCGAGGCGAGCGAGACCGTGGCGCCCCTCGGGAGCGCCGCGCAGAAGAACAAGGAGCTGCGGCACAAGCGGCGGCGCGAGACGCAGATCAAGCAGCGGCGGACCGTGGGCAAGCACGTCCAGCAGGCGTCGGCGCGCATGTCCATCGCCGAGCAGGCCAACGTCCAGCGCATGCGCGGCCTCACGGTCGTCGGCGCCAAGGGCAAGGCGCTGGCCGCGCGGCGCGCGACGGGCCGCGCGGGCGACAAGTTCGGCTTCGCGCTGCCGCTGCCGCTGGGCAAGTGCTGGCACGCGATCTTCGCCGCCGTGCACCGCGCCGACGCCTTCGGCCGGGCCGTGCGGCCCGAGCGCTACGTGCGGCCCGAGCCCGAGCCCGTGAGCGAGACGCCGCGGTCCGCCGCGCGGAAGATCGCCGGATTGGTGCTCACGCACGGCCTCAAGCGCGCGATTTATAGACGGGCGACGGACCGCATCGCGGCCTTTCTGAAGAAGCCGAGCTTCCTCGAGGCGCGCATGGTCGACCGCTTTCTCGACGTCATGCGGAAGATCAAGAACTGCCAGCGCCGCATCAAGGGCATGTGGGACGTCACCGAAGCGCGGTGCCTCCTGCTGCGCAAGGTCTGGTTCGCCGTCGAGAAGGCGAACACGGACGCGCTCTCCAAGTTCATCGTGAGGGTCAAGAAGCGCCGCGCGGGCAACCGCGAGGCGCGGGAGAAGGCCGCGGCGCTGAAGCTCCGCTTGGAGACGGGCGACAAGGAGCCGGAGACGTGGGTCGGCGAGGTCACGCGCCAGTGCGTCAAGCGCCACGCGAAGCTGACGAAGATCACGGAGAAGGTGCAGCACCTGAGCCACGCGATCCGCGAGCTCCGGGACGCCGAGGCCGAGGAGCGCGAGAAGCGCCGCGCGGAGGCCGCGGGCGCGAAGCGCGTCGAGGAGGAGAAGAGTTTGGCGTCCAAGTTCATCACGCCCGTCCACCGGGACCGGCTCCTGCGGCGCTACCTCGCGGACAAGCGCGCGGCGCACATTTTGGAGTGCGAGGAGGACGCGATCCGGCGCCGCGCGGGCGGCTACGACCAGGGCCGCTTCGGCGTCGACGACGCGCGGCGTTTGATGGAGCTGTCGAGCGCGCACGTCGGCGAGGTCACGGAGATGCAGGGCATCATGCTCAAGGAGGATTCCATCTTCGCGTCGTACCGCTGGCCGCCCCTCGTGCTGCTCGACGAGGCCACGGGCGACGACGTGCTCCGCCTCATCAAGCGCGCGGTGCTCGAGCACTTTATACTGCGCAAGTTCGGCAAGAAGTTCTGGCGGCTGCGGTGCAAGGCGGCCCTCGTCCATTTACGGGCCCAGGCGGCCAGGACCGTGCCCCGGGGGAAGCCGAGGACGCGCGCGGGCAAGCGGCGGCGGTCCTACCACGACCCGCTCGAGCGCTGGGGCGACGGCGGCGCCGTCTACAAGCTGGAGACGAAGAAGAGCGCCATCAAGGCCATCGCGCGGCGGAACCGGGCGCTGAAGGAGGCCGTGAAGCGCGCCGTGGGCCGGGAGGACGAGCCCGAGACGAATTTGGTCGCGGCCGTCGCGCGCGCGGCCTTGGAGGCGAAGAAGGCGCACGAGCGCGCCGCGGAGGTGCCCGAGGACCTCGACGGCGGGGGCGACGCGGAGGCGCCGGCGGCGGAGGTGCCCGAGGACATCGCGTCGACGCCGGCGACGCCCGCGGACCGGTTGCGCCACGCGCACGCCGCGCGCTTGGGCGTCGCGGCGCTCGAGGCGTTCCTCCCCGCGGCGAGCCGCGAGGGCTTCGCGGGTAAGGCCCACGACAAGATGCGGCGCCAGGACCGCGCCAAGGCCCACTTCAAGGTCGCCCTCGACACGCTGGCCACGGCGGACCAGCTCACGCACCACAAGAGCGGCGACGCGTCGCTCTCCGCGCTCTCAAACGCGAAGATGCACCAGCAGGACCGCGCGAAGCAGCACTTCCACGCGGCGCTCGACACGCTCGCGACGGCCGACGAGCTCACAAAACACAAGGCCGGCGACGAGTCCCTCTCCGCGCTGAGCCACGCGCGCATGGCCAAGCAGGCGGGCATCCGCCAGCACTTCCACGCCGCGCTCGACGCCGTCGGCTTCCGCGACCGCGCGCTCGACATCCACGCGCCCATCCCCAAGACGCCGGCCACGGCCTCCAAGGCGTCCTCGAAGGCGAACTCGCGCGCGCCGAGCCGCGCGGGGCCCGTAAGTTGACACCGGTGCAGCGAGGTTGTTGTTGCCGCCGAAAGTGAACTTGATGAGCTTCGCGTTGCACTCCGCGCTTCGCTGAACGCGAGCTCCGCGACAAACTCAGCACTGCCGCGTCGCGTCTCTGACAATCACCGTGCGCCGCCCGCGTCCCTGCTTCCACGCATGGCTCGTCCGGCCGCGCGCCATCTTAAACGCGCGAAACGCTCGGAGGAAAGCGCACGCCGCGCCGGGCTTTGCCAGACGCCGGAATTGCGTTCGGGTGGCGACGCGACGCTGGCGGCTCCGACCCATTGTCTCCCCATCCTAGGCCACCATGACCGCCGTCGCGTCGCCCCAGTCCCCGACGTCCCAGATGCTCAAGGCGACGGCGCCCGCCTGGACGCCCGTGCCGGGCCTCGGCCCCGCGCTCGAGGCCAAGGGCGCGCGCAAGGGCCGGTCGCGGCGCAAGTCCGGCCGCGAGTCGCTCGAGCACCGCATGGGCGCGGCGCCCCGGGGCCCGGGCCTCGCGCGGTCCGGCGGGGCGGCGCCGGGCGCGCGCAAGCCCGCGAGCCCGCGGAGCGGCCGCCGCGGGTCCGGCCGGTCGCCCGACGGCCGCGGCGGCGACGCGCTAACGTGCGGCCTCGCGTCGCGGTCGAGCCCGCGGCACAAGCCCCAGCCCCAGCAGCTCAAGGTCCACGCCCCGGGCTGCGCCTGCGCGCGCCTCGTGCGCGCGCGCGCGAAGCACGACGAGGCGGGCCGCGCGTCCGGCTACCTCGTCGTGAGCCGCGACGCGCGCGCGCCGGACCTCCACTTCGGCGTCGACGCCGACGACTTCGCCGCCGAGCCCGAGGCGTCCGAGTCGGCGCCGTCGCCGACGCCGAGCCCGCCGCCCGAGGGCGCGCCGCGGCCCGCGGCCGCGGCCGCGCCGGAGTCGGACGCGGACCGCGCGGACCGGCGCCAGCGCGAGGCCAAGCTCCGCGAGGCCATCGCGTCGGCCTCCGACGCCGCGGGCACGAAGGTGTCCTGCGCCGCCTGCCTCCTCGACGGCGACTGGCGCAACGGCGCCGTCGTCGTCGCCGGCGGCAAAAGCTCGGTGTCGCGCGTCTGCGACGCGGCCAACGGCGCGCTCTTCCCCGCGGGCGGCGACCCCAAGGCCTTCCACGGCACGGCGTTGCCGCGCTGCGTGCCCGTGAACGTCGGCGGCCTGCTCCGCGCGGTCATGCGCGGCGAGGAGCCCATCCCGCTCCCGGCGGAGCTCGCGCTGCCGTCGCCGGAGCTCGGCGAGGGCGTCGTCGACGTCAAGCACCACATCCAGGAGGCGCTGGGCATCGTGCCCTTCGCGGACCTGCTCGCGGGCGGCGACGGCGACGACGCGCGCGCGGATTCCATGCGCCGCCTCGCCGCGCTCGACGACGAGTACGTGCTCGTCCTCGCGTACGTCGACGCGCGCAACGTCGTGAGCCTCGACCTCCCCGGCGGCAAGCGCAAGCTCGCCGAGACGGCCTGGGAGGCCGCCGTGCGCGAGATGGCCGACGAGTGCAAGCTCGCCGCGGCGCCCGGCGACGACCTCTTCTCGGGCGCCGGCGGCGCGCTCGACGCCGGCGGCGCGGCCTTCAAGGCGCGCTCCTACGTCGACGGCCAGTCCGTCCGCTTCTTCGTGCTCCGGCCAGCGGACCACGACCCCGCCGAGAAAGCCGAGCCCTGAGTCCCGGCGCGACGCGTCCTCGGCCGCGCCGCCCGCGGCGCGGGTCCTCCCCGCCCCTCCTCCTCTCCCCGCCCTGTTTTCGGACGCGTTACGCCGCTTTGAGCACGTTTTTACGACGGCGGCGCGAGCCCGACCCACTGGGTCAGCGTCGCCCACTCGACGGCCGCGCCGAGCGCGAGGGACGCGGCCGCGGGGCCTTTCGGGACCTCCGCGGCCGCGGCGGCGAGGCTCTGGCGCCCGTCGAGGCACGCGGCGAAGGGCGCGAAGGACGTCGCCGCGTAGAAGTCGTCGAGCGCCGCGTCCCGGAACGTCGTGCCGACCTGCGCGGACGCCGCGACGCGCAGGTCCTGGGCCCGGCAGCCCGCGACGGCGTAGAGCGCGAGCCCGCAGAAGATGAAGAGGTCCGGGGCCCGGCCGCCCGCGAGGACCGCGTTCGCGCAGCCCCAGGGCACGACCGGCAAGATCAGCGGGTGCCGCGTGACGCGCGTCAGGCCCGCCGGCCGCAGCTTGAGGCCGTCGTCGCGCTTCACGCCCAGGGGCGACGACGGGTCGTCCTCGAAGCCCGGCACGAGCGACAGCGGCGACGGCTGCGCGAGGGACGCGATGCTCACGCCCTGCGCGGCGCTCGCGACGGCGAACGCCGCCCACCACTGCGCCGGGGCCAGCGCGACGGGCGCGGCCTCGGCGGCCTCGCGCACCTCCGGGTAGGCGGCCAGGGCCGGGAAGAGGAGCGCCGACGCGACGGCCGTGTAGCCCGCGCGGTAGATCTGGCGGCCGGCGGTCGGCGCGTCGGGCCAGACCTCGAGGCCGCCGGCGTCCGCGGGCCACCAGGCCTCCGGCAGCCGCCAGCCGCGGCCGACGAGGCCGAGGCCGTCGGCGGTCGCGCCGCACGCGGCGATGAGCGGCTCGCGCACCGCGGAGAGGCCGATGTGCGTCACCGAGAAGCCCGCGACGAGGCCGCCGAGCGTCAGCGGCGTGAGCATCTGCAATGAATCAGCGCTGCGTGTTGCGCTTGTTTTTTTTAGTATTGCACTGAGCCTCGACTGTTGCAAGCAGGCCTAGGCAGCGCTCAGTGATGCGCTGAGCCTCGACTGTTGCAAGCAGGCCTAGGCAGCGCTCAGTGTTGCGCTGAGCCACGACTGTTGCAAGCGGACCTAGGCAGCGCTCAAGGTTGCGCTGAGCCACGACTGTTGCAAGCGGACCTTGGCAGCGCTCAGAGTTGCGCTTGGCCTCGATATGAAGCCATGCTCTCTAGCTTCAAGGTTGATGCGCCCGCCTCATTGAACCCATCGTGCAGCCCAGCATGGCGGACCTGTACGGCGTTTGGGTGGGCATCGGCCGCGACGAGGCGCAGACGCTGCCCGCGGTGCTGAGCAGCATCGCGACGGCGTCGGGCCTCTTCCGCGGCGGCTGCGCCGTCATCATCTACGAGAACGACAGCGCCGACGGCACGGCGGAGCTGGTGCGCGCCTGGGGCAACAGCCTCGAAGCGAAGGCCGGCGGCGTGCGGCGCGTCGTCGTGCTGAGCGAGAAGCTGGGCGTCGGCGTGAAGCGGCCGAGCCACTCGTTCCTCGCGCGGTGCCGCAACAAGTACCTCGACGCGCTCGAGACGCTCGTCGAGGAGGAGCCGTGGCTCGCGACCGCGCCCGACCGCGTGCGCGTCGTCGCCGTCGACCTGGATCTGCGCCTGGGCTTCCCCGCGCCGTCCGTGGCGAGCTCGCTGCGGCTCCTGGAGACGCTGCCGGGCGTCGGCGCGGTCGCGTCGAACGGCGTCTTCACGCCGCAGGGCCACCTCTACGACGCGTTCGCGTTCCGGTGCGCCGACGCGTTCGCCGTGGCGCCGCTGGCCTTCGACGAGCGCGCCTTTGGGGGGCTGGCCTGCTTCTGGGCGGCGCTGAACGGCGACCGCGAGCGGCGGCCCGCGTTCCCGCCGAACCTGCCGCCGCGTCCCGTCGACTCCGCGTTCGGCGGGCTGTGCTGCTACCGCTACGCGGCGCTGGAGGGCCTGCGCCACGACGACCAGTGCGAGGACTGCGAGCACGTGAGCCTCTGCCGGTCCATGAAGCGCGCGGGCTTCGAGGTGCTCTTCAACCCCGCGGCGCTCCTGTGGAACGCGGACTACGACGACCCGCGGACCTTGGTCGGCGCGCGCGTCGACGCCTGGGCGGCCTACGACGACCCGGCGGGCCCCCACCTCGGCGCCGTCCACGACGACGCGGCGACGCTGGACCGCGACGCCTGGCGGCGGAGCGGCGGCGGGGACGCGGGGGGCTTCGAGGTCGTCGTCCAGTATTTCGTAGCGAAAACACCGCGGCGCCGCGCGGAGATCGACGCGTGCGCGGCGCGCAACGCGGCGAGCCGCAACGTCGCGCGGCTCCACTTCCTCGTCGAGGACGGCGACGCCGCGGCGCGCCTCGCGACGGTCGTCGGCCCGCCGTCGGACCGCGTCCGCGTCGTCGCCGGCGACGGCCGCCGGCTCACGTTCGGCGCCGCCGTCGCCTACGCGGACGCCGTCGCGGCGGCGGGCGCCCTCGTGGCCGTGGCCAACGCGGACGTGGCGCTGGACCACGCGACGTGCCTGCGGCAGGCGCACCGCGCGCTCTGCGGCCGGAGGCACCGCGTCCTCGCGCTCACGCGGCACGAGACGACGCCCTTCGGGCCCCAGCTCTTCGGCGGCGGCGCGCGGCCCGACGCCCAGGACTGCTGGCTCTACCTGGCGCCCCTCGAGCTCGGCCGGGCGCGCAAAGCCTGCGACGTGCCGCTGGGCAAGGGCGGCGCGGACAACCGCGTCGCGTTCCAGCTGCTCCTCGGCGGCGTCGACGTGCTCAACCCGGCGCGGAGCGTCGTCGTGCACCACGTCCAGGCCGAGGAGAAGCGGGGCTGGCGCGTCGCCGAGGTGAAGCCGCCCTACGCGTACCTGCCCCCGGCGACGATCGAGGCGTGCCGCCACGCGCAGTTCGCGCCCATGGCGTGCCTCGACGACGGCCGGAGCCGGGGCCACGCGACGCTCCGCGCGGGCGACTGCAAGTGCCTCGCCTGCGGGCGGCTCCGCGCGCTCCTCCGCGAGTGGCACCGCCTCGGCCTCGTCAAGCTCCGGAGCGTGAAGACGCGCGGGCCCGCGGAGGCGCGGTGGCGCGAGCGGAGCGTCACGGGCGAGCCGCTCCGCGCGCCCCACGCGGGCGACGTCGCGCTCCTGCCGGCGGCGCACGCGGACGTGGCGCCGCCGGAGTGCGCCGTCAAGCTCCACCTCCGGTCCCTCGGCGACGCGGGGCCCGACGGCCCGTCGACGCGGCGGCTCCGGTGGGCGACGGCGGCGACGGCGCGGCCCCGGGACGTCGCCAACGCCGCGCGGGTCCGCAAGCCGCCGGAGCCCCGGTCGTCGGCGCTCGTCCTCGAGGCGGAGCCGGACCTCGCGACGCTCGCGGCGTGCCGCGCGGCGGTGCTCGGTTACGACCGCCGGGAGGTCATCCCCGAGCTCCTCGCGCTCGGCGTCGTGCCCGTGCTCGCGGCGCTCTCCGGCGACGAGGAGGCCAAGCTCGCCGCGGCGGCCATCGAGTGCGGCACGCACTACGTCCGCGCGGAGGCCTACGACCCGGACGACGACGCCGCGCTCGCGGCGATCGGCCGCAACGGGCCCGCGTGGTACGACGCGCACGCGGCGCCGCTGGCGACGTACAAGCGCGCCGTCGCGCTCGCGCGCCTCGCGACGGGCGCGCCGCCCGCCGCCGGCGCGTGCCTCGAGTCCGAGTAGGGTCTTCTTTTAGCCGACGAGGTGCGCGGCCCAGTCGACGAGGGGGAGGATGTCCGCGCACGTCTGCCGCGGCAGGTCGTCGGCGACGCACGCCGAGTAAGTGGGCAGGCGGTACGCGGCCTCGGGCCCGATCAGGATCACGGACCAGAGCGCGAGGTTCCGCGCGGCCTGTTGCAGCTCCTTGCCCTTCTCCGGCGGCGGGAAGAACCTGGGTGCGGCGCGGTTCGGCGCCGTCGCGCGGCGCGGGTCGGCGTCGTCGCGAAATCAAAGGGACGCGGTCGCGCACTTCTCGACGTTCACGACGACGGAGCGGCGCCGCGGTATGCTGTGCGACGGCGGCACCAGCGCCGCGACGGACGACGCGACCAGGAAGCAGATGAGCTTGCGGAGCATCTCTTGCGCTTTGTGTGAGGTTTTTTTAGGCGCAGAGGACGCGGCGCGACAGTACGAGCTTCGACCTCGTGGCAGCGACTCTCCGCGAGTCCCTTTCAAGCGCAAACAACCGGCGCGACAGCGCGATCTTCGTGCTCCACAGCTCGAAGAGCTGCTCAACAATGGGTCAACATTGCGTCAACATGCCGCTCCGAGCCCATTCCCTCTGGTTGAAGAGTTGTGGGTCTGTCCGAGGGGGCTTGCTAACATATCCCGCCGGCGGGATATGTTAAACGCCGCTTCAACTTGGATTTCAACCTCAAACCTTGCACTTCAACAGGGACCTCAACACAGCCGCTAAAGGCAATCGGCGATGAATTTTAGGCTTGGCAGGCGACGATTAGACGTCCGGGTGCCTAGATGTCGAACGCGGCGCGAATGGGCTTGTGGTCGCTCGTGCTGACGTCCCCGACGACCTCGAAGTTTGTGAGCCTGGTCTGCGGGCCTGCGTCCGGATAGCGATAGAGGATGCGGTCCGTGAAGGACGGGAGGCGCTTGTGGAATCCCTTCCACCCGTACAAGTAATGGAATCCCTTCTTCCCGACGACGCACTTGAACGACGGCGGACCCGAATACGGCGTGGTCCTGAAGCCCGCGAGGCCGGCCTCATCCCGGTCGGCCTGGGGCTGGCATGTCAGCTCGTCGAGGGCTCCGAGAGCTGCGTAGTTTCCCTCCTCGATGAGCTGCGAGACGCGGTGGAAGACCGTCGCGATGTTCGCGCCGCTGTAGATAGCCGGCGCGCCGTACTTGTTGGGGTCGAGCCGGTAGTTCAGGTCGCCGAGGATGAAGCAGTGCCGCGTCGGTTCGAGGATGGTGGCCTTGAGCTTCGTCGTGATCTTCTTCACGGCCGCGTTCCGCTCCGCGCACTTGCCCTCGCTCGCCGGGAGCTGGCAACAGACGAACGCGAGGCGGACGCGGGACGCTTCGACGACCCGGCCCAGGGATGCCGACAGGGCGACGCCGCACGCTCCCCGGATGAGGCCACCGGTCGATACGAACGATTTCCTGACGTCGTGGACGTAGAAATTGGCTTCGGCGGCGCGGCGGCAGAAGACGAGGAGCTTGAGGCCCATGCGCAGGAAGGACATCGAGGCGTCGTTCACGAGCTCGTGCTGCTCGAGGTGGCCGATGAGCTTCTGCTCGACGTTGGCGTTGCCAAGCTTGACCTCCTGTAGCGCGACGACGACGAGGTCGGCAAAGACGACGCGGCCCTCGGACACGATCATGCCGTGCCGGAGCCAGGGGACAAGCTCTCCGGGGAGCATGGAGCTGCCTCCCATGTTGAAGGTGCCCGCGAGGATGCGCAGGGGCCGCGCGTCCGCGCCGGGCGCCGGCGGCGCGTCGCCGGCGGCGCGCGGCTCGCCGAGGCCCGGCGGCGCCGGCGGCGCGGACGGCCGCGGCCGCGCGGACGGAGGGGGCGGCTCGTCGGCGCGCGGCGTGGGGGGCGCGGACGGCGCGGACGGCGCGGCCGAGCGACCCAGCGGCGTCGCCGCGCCGTCGACGCTGAGGACCTCGACCATCTGCGCGCCGACGACGTCGGCCCCGTCGGCGACGGGCTCCGCGTCGACGATCACCGCGTCTCCGGCGAGCTCGGCCTCGGAGAGGAGGTCGCAGACGGCGTCCATGGCCGGGCGGTCGCCGGGCACCGACTGGACGCAGCGGTGGGCGATCTCGAGGACGTCGACGGCCCGCTCGAGCGCCTCCGGCGACGGCTCGAGCTTCGCGTCGAAGATGTCGGTCTCGCGCTCCGCGGCCATGACGCGGTCGACGAGGCCGCGGGCGTCGAGCCCCGTGACGAGCTCCATGAGCACGACGCCGAAGGCGTAGACCTGAGGGCGGGGCGTCGTCGTCGCGGACTCGCGCGCGGCTCCGGGCGCGGGCGCGCGCGTCCGACGCGGTGCTGATCTCGCCCGTCGCGACGTAGTGCGGGTCCATGTAGCCGTGGGAGCCTGCGAGCGTCAGGGTCCTGTCCGCGCCCCGCGGAGTGGCGACCTTGCGCGCGAGGCCAAAGTCCGCGAGCTTGGCGTGGCCGGCGTCGTCGAGCAGGACGTTCGCCGATTTCACGTCGCCGTGGATGAAGGCGACGTCGTTGGCGCGCGGCTGGGCGTGCAGGTAGTAGAGGGCCGCCGACGTGTCGAGGGCGATGCGGAGGCGGTGGTTCCACGGGAGCGGCGCGACGTCGCGGCCGTCGAAGCCCGTGCAGGCGAGCCGGTCCTGCAGGGACCCGCCGCGCATGAGCTCGAGGACGAGCACCTAGCGAGGGCGACGGTGGAACGGTATCCGGGCGAAACTTGCGTGAGAAAGCACCTGTGTCGCTCGACGCTGACAAGGACCCGCTCGTGCTCGTCGGCCGCGTACGCGAGGAGATGCACGAGGCGCGGATCTCGCAGCTGCGCGAGCACGTCGAGCTCCTTGACGAACTCCGCCTCGCCCTGCCCCGCGCCGCGCAGGTGCCGCTTGATCGCCACGTCGCCGAACTGTTCCAGCGTACCTGATGGGCAGCGCGGCTCGGCGGCGCCGGCGCGCGCTCGCGGCGCGGGCGCCGCGCCCGCGTAGACCGCCCCGAAGCCGCCGGAGCCGACGCGCCTCGACTCGTCGAAGCCTCCCGTCGCGAGGTCGACGGCCCGCATGTCCACGCGCACCGCGTGGCTCCGCGCGATGCGCATGCGCACGCTGCGCGAACACTGCAGGAGGAGCGTCTGCCGCTCCGCGTCGGGCGCCGCGGACGTCGAGGCCCGCGGCGCGTTCTCGAGGAATTTGTCGACGGTCCACCCGAGGCCCGCGAGGGTCCGGGTCCGCTCCTTGGCAGTCACGCCGTGCTGCGCCTCGTAGGCCTCGACGACGCCGATCACCCACTCGTCCACGACGCCGTCCGCGAGGACGTGCCGCAGGACCCGCCCGTAGTTTGGCCTGCGCGGAGACCGGCGGTTCGGGCGGCCCCGACCGACACTCTCCGAGTCGCCGATTTTGGGACGAGTCGTGTTCGCTCGACAGTCAAAACGAGGCCGAAGAACCGCGCGTCGACGTCGGAACGCTCGAATTCCGCGCGGAGTCGCGCGCGCGGGCCCACTCCGCGGGCGTCCAGCCCAGCGCCGCCAGGGCCGCGTCCCGCTCGGCGTCGCCGAGGCCGTGGCCCGCCTCGAAGAGCGTGACCAGGTGCACCCCGTCCGCAAAGACCAGGCCGTCCGAGACGACCATCTCGACGAGCTTCTCGTACTCGGACGCGGTCTCGCGCGCCTCGAAGTCGCGCCGCGCCGTCGCGCCGCGCGCGCGCTCCGCCGCGAGCTCCCGCTCGAGCGCCGCCGCCGCGGGCTCCGGCGTCGCCGCCGGCTTCGGCTTGAGCGCGCTCAGGGGCCCGTCGCCCGAGACCCGCGGCGGCGCCGAGGGGCGCCGCGCCGGGTCAGGCGAGGTGTCCACGAAGACCTGGAGGCCCGGGGGGAGGCGCAGCTCGCGGATCGACGCGCGCGTGCCCTTGTCCTTGAAGATGGTCACGACGACGCGGCCCGTCCGTCGCTCCACGGAAAGCCCCGCGGACCGCCGCTTCGTGACGTCGCCCCGCCCGCGCCGGTTCACGGCGGCGACGCAGGCCGCGACCTCGAAAAAATGCCACTCGCGCTTCCCCGCGACGTGGAGCCGCGGCGTCACCAGCACCGCGACCGTCGGCCGCTGCGGCAGCCCGCCGCCGGCCTCGAGGCGGAAGGCCGCGCGGCCGTCGCGCAACGCGAGGCGGCCGCGCTCCGAGGCGCAGGCGTAGTGGAGCGCGCCCTTGGCGCAGGTGACCGTGCCGGCCTCGTCCGACTTCGAGAAGAAGCCCCGGAGCGTGACCGTGTTGTCGAAGACGGCGACGCGGCAGTCGAACTCGACGCCCCGCGGCATGGCGCCGAGCACGGCCGTGGCCAGCGGCAGGTCGTCGTCGTCGTCGATGACGGGCTCCGGGCCGCCGCCGGCTTCGACGCGGGGCGTCGAGAAGACGAGGCCCATCGCAGCGGGTGAGGGCAGCCCCTAATTTTGCGACTTTCAGGATGCCACACTCTAACACGGGTTCTCGAGTGGGCTGTGTCATTCCGAAGCGGCGGTGTTGCAGTTTGCCCTGAACACTTCATTTTGCTATCTTGAGGGAGCTTGAAGAGCAATTTACTAGGGCGAAGCAGTGGGGGACCTTAAAATTGCAAAACCGTAGGGGGCTTGGGGTCTTTCGGGTCCGCGGAAGGGTTTTGGAGGGCTTCTGGAGGGCTTCCACTACCTAGGTAGTAGTAGTGGCCGCTTCTGGAGCCCGCGGCCTGAGGGCTTCTGGCACGTGGCTTGGGGCGGGTTGCGCCCCCTAAGGCGTGGGCGGCGCGTCAGAGGTCCCCCGCGAGGCGTGAGCGGCGGTGTCGAGGCCCCTTTGAAGGGCAAGCGGCTGAGTTGAGGCCCCTGTTGAAGTGCAAGGTTTGACTCATCGGATGAAGTCCAAGTTGAAGCGGCGTTTGGCATATCCCGCCGGCGGGCCATGTTATTGCCTGGCGGCGGTCTTAGGCGGGGTCCCTTTCCCGGCGTATATACAGCCCGACGCCGGCGACGTGTTCGCCGACGCTGACAGAACGTTCGGTCTCGGCGCGCAGGTCGCCGACTTCGTCGCCGCTCACTTGTTGACATGTGCAGAGTGAGAGAAGTCGGAGTAGGCGCCCATGGCCCATGACGAGCCCAATTGGCTCTTCGAGGCCTCGCGGGCGCGTTCAACCGCGGTGGACGACTGGCTCATCGAGCCATCGGCCACGGCCTTGGCGGGGACGGCCGTGGCGGGCGCGGAGTGAGAGAAGTCGGAGTAGGCGCCCATGGCCCATGACGACCCCAAGCTCGTCGAGCCACCGGCCGAGGCCTTGGCGAACTCGCGGGCGCGATCAACCGCGGTGGGGCCATCGGGGATCGAGTCATCAGCCACGACCTTGGCGGCGACGGCCGTGGCGGGGGCGGAGTGAGAGAAGTCGGAGTAGGCGCCCATGGCCCATGACGACCCCAAGCTCGTCGAGCCACCGGCCGAGGCCTTGGCGAACTCGCGGGCGCGATCAACCGCGGTGGGGCCACCGGCGCCAGGGGCCTCGGCCGTCGTGATGACTTCGGAGCCGGAGAGCCAGTCGGGGCCGCCGACGGACGAGGCGCCCATGGCCCACGCGGCGCCCATTTCGGTTTCGACGCCGACGACGACGGACCGGCGCCGCGGCGTCGCGTGCGACGGCGGCAGCAGCGCCGCGACGGACGACGCGAGCAGGAAGCAGACGAGCTTGCGTAGCATCTCTTCTGTCGCAGCTCTTTGTGAGGATTGGAGGGTTTTTCTGGGCGGCGCAGAGGACGCGGCGCACGACGGTGCGAGATTCGGCCTCGTGGCAGCGGCTCTCCGCCGGTCTTTTACTAAACAGACAGCGCGATCTACGAGATCACACCTCGAGCTCGAGCCACGGTGACGTGAGCGGGGAAACGAGCCCATGCTTCCCTCGTTGTACTAGGTTGCACATACATCCAAACGCGATGGCGCGGCTGCCCGTCGTCGCGTGCTGCTGGTTCTTCGCTCGGGCCATCGACGTGCGCGACCTCGACCCCTGGCGCTTCGAGAAGCAGCTCGTCGAGCGCTACGTGCGCGACGGCAACGGCACGGTCTACTTCGTGCCGGCGGAGCCGCAGCTCGACGGCCGCGTCCTCTGCGACGTCGCCGTCGACAGCGGCGCGCGCATCCCGACGGACGCCTTCGGCCGCGTGGACCGCCGGAGGGACGAGGACGCGCAGCACTGCGTTCCGCGGCACCCGGAGCGGGCGAGGAGCTGGCACGGGCTGCCCGAGGCCGCGGCGTACTACGCGTCGCACTTCCGCGTGGGCTTCCTCGAGATCCACACGCGCCTGCCCGCGGCGCTCGCCTTCACGCGCTTCGCCTTCGTCGGCGTCGTGCGCGACCCGCTCCACGCCGTCGCCGGCGGCACCGAGGGCGACCCCGCGCGCGTGAAGCAGTACGTCAACCGGCAGCTCGGCCACTACATCGGCTGCGCGGCGACCATCGCCAAGGTCTTCGCCAAGGCGGGCGCGGCGGAGGCGACGATCCGCACGGGGGCGACGCGGACGCTGCCCCACTACCGCGTGGGCTTCGAGTTCCGCGGCGGCGACGAACGCTACGTCGACGTGCCCGACGGCGACTACGCGGAGCAGCGCGCGCGGCACCGGCCGAACTGCGCCCAGGCCGTGCTGGACTTCCACCGGCCGACGCGCGACGACCTCGACGCGGCGAAGCGGCGCCTCGACCGCTTCTCGGTCGTCGCGCCCCTGGATCGGCTCGCGGAGCTCGCGCCGCTCCTGAAAGCCAAGTTCGGCTACGGCGACGTGTCGGCGCTGGCGCGCTTCAACTACACGGCCTACTCCCAGCCGGAGCTGGCGATCCTGGCCAAGGTCGACGGCCACATCGCCGCGGCGTTCCGCCGCAACACGGACCTGGACCGCGAGCTCTACGCCTACGCGGGCCGGCTGCTGGACGCCCAGCTCCAGGCGCACCGCAACTCGTGGTCGGGCGCCGTGCGCGTCGGCCGGGACGCGTCCCGCGGCGCGGGCGTCGAGATCGGCTCCTTGAGCTCCGTGAAGGTCCACCCGGCCGCGGAGCGCCTCGAGGCGCCCAAGTGGGCGGCCCTGCCCGACGCGTTCCCCATGTTCGAGGACGCGGCGCGGGAGGAGGGGTTCGGGACGGCGCTCGCGGTGTAAAAGTTTTCAGGAGAGCGTCGGAACCGGCTCGTCGCAAAGTGCTCGTTACCTTTACATTTCATAAGTTGAGTCGAATTTTGTGTCCGAGCCCGAGGACGGCTGTGGCGAGGTCGATCGTCACAGCCTTGCGCGCCGCGGCTCGACTTCTGCGAGTCGCGCGCTTGCAGCGCGAGGGTCCCGCTGTCACGAGGGACTTGCGGCGCGGTCGTGGCGTCATCGGCGCGACGCGCGAAGGCTTGTTCGTCGCCCGTTTCGAAGGTTTCGGCTGCGGATCGCGTGGCTCGGCCTGCGGCACCGCGTCCTGAGCGCGCGCGACCTCTACACGCGTACACAGCTCTTCGGGCCGCTCGCGGGGGACGCAGGGCGGGTCTCTGGCGCAGCGGCGCGACGCCGGCGGGTGCGGGTGCCGCGATCAACCGCTCGAGCGTAAAACGTCACGCTTTGGCGCTGGGCGGAAACGCATGGCTCGCAGCGATGTCTGGGCCCCGCTACCCGTCGTCGCTGCAGGACGCGTTCCAGGACAGTCGACACAGCCGCCGAGATCGATACCAGCCCACAGAACGTCTGTGCAACGCGCGCGGCGCGCCCCGCATCGGTTCGAGACGGTGGCGCGAGTTTCCGACTGCAGTGCTCAAAGTCGCGAGGAGCGCGACGCGCGACCGCGGCGCGGCGACCAGCCGTAGAGCACACACTCACTATCGATCCATGACCATGCGTGGCTCAATTGATGCGCTGCAGCAAACATGTGCACCTGTTTCGAAGCAGATAGATGATGATGAGGTGCCTGATCACCGTGCCTCCCGCACCACCGCGTCGCTCGATTCAGCCCGATTTCGGCGTGGGTTGTAGCGGGGGCACCCCACGCGTGCCGCGCCAAACCCACGGCGCCTGGGGGACAGCGGTCGACACGATTTTGCTGCCCAAACACCCCCGCACGCAATTAATTTCAACATCGACTCAACTTATGAAATGTAAAGGTAACCGCAACATGTTGTGTAGCAGCGCGAAGTCCTCAGGCACACCCAAACCTTTGGCTGGTGATCACCCGATTAGCCCTCGATGGGCCTCAAAGCGGCGCGTAGGCCGCGGTAGCCGAAGGAAAAACGGCCCCGGCCGCGGCGCATGTACCCCACGAGGGCGCGGAGCCGTTCCAACCGTTCGTGATGGCGACTTCGCGGCTCCAAACGGTCGCGTGACAGCGGCCGGCGGCCCACGCTCTCAGAGGCCCGAGTGCGGACTCGTCGGAAACGCTGCTTCTGGCTCGTTTGGGGCGTGCGCGGGTCCTTAGTGATGCTGTAAGAGATTCCGCGTGCTTGGTTCGATGCGTGCGGGCCCAAAACGTGACTGCGCGCGCGGCCGAAGCTCGGCGCCGACGACATTCCCGACGCGTTGACCGCGGGCATCCGGAGCGCCACACGTGCGAGGCGCTGGTCACATCCCTCCGGTGGGTCATATACTCGGTCCGGAAGCGTCGTGTGACCTCGGAAAACGTGTTGAAGTCGTGGATCGCGGACCCCATACACTGCAGCCCTACCGAATGATCTCTGCCGCTGCGATTCTCGTCACCAACGTCCACGGCGACGAGCCCGAGCACACCATCGTCGTCGTATGAGATCTACGTGGCCTCCGGCTAGAAATTTCTAGCGACAACGACATTTTTGACCCGTTCGCGAATCTGGTGCTCGAGCGCGTACAGCCTCATCTCGGGCGGAGCACCTACCTCTTAATCCGAGCTTCTAGTGGGCGCCTCTCGGTCGAGCTTCGACGCCGGTACTCTGGCGCCTCTAGGGACGAAGAGACGCGGTGCGGGCTCGGGTTTCGGGTCGCGAAGACACCGTAGAGTGCCAGACGGTGTTTTGAAAAAAATATTTACGCCACGCCTGCGTCGCAGGTGACCGGGCCACCGCCGGAAAGCCCGCGGCGTCGCAAAGCCATGTACTTGGAGCGTTGATAACGAAAAAGTCCGCGGGTACAGACGCGGACGGCGACCGCGCGCCGCGCGCGAACGTGTCGGTTTAGGACCGTCTCCGTCGACGTACGACTTCGACGCCGCAAAGAAGCACGTCGGGTCCAGCGCTGATGAGTGCTCCACGGCCCTCGCCCATCGATAGGATGAGCTCGGAGCCCATATCCTCGCACCGCCGCCCCCATGGGCGCCGCGTAGCCGCCGTCGAGCGGTTGCGCGCGTGTGCGCCGAGCACGACGTTCGCGTCCGCCGAGCGTTGCAGGTCGTCCGCGCCCGCGAGGAGTCATTCCCGATCGCTTCGTGGAGATGTTTGGCCGCAAAATCGATCAAGTCCGGGGGCACGGACCGCGGCCCCCGCGCGCCGGCCGCCGCAGAGCGGCGCCCGAAACCGCCGCCGAAACGGGTTCTGGGGTCATGAACGGCGATGTGGCGTATTTGACGTGATCTGTTGGGCCACGGCTCACCCATAGTGATAGACGAGCTGCACGAGCCACTTCGCCGACGGGAACTCGCGCAGATCTAGCCGCGGTCCGCGCCTCGAACGTGTCGTCGGCACCCGTCTTCGGCCCAGCGCCGCACCACGACCACGGCCTCGGCCGACGCAGTTGAGCGCGCGCCGCATCTATGCGCAACATGGACGGACCGCCGCGACGGTTTACGGACCCGCGGCGACCTCCGGACGCGTCCAGCGCCGCCCGCTGCTCGACCGCTCCCGCAGGCGGTTTCCGAGGCCGTGTGCGTCGTCGCGCGCACGCCGTTTCCAGCGCTCAAAAGTGGCACGCGACCGCGCAGGGACTAGTAGACGCAAACGGAAGCGGCGCGGGGGTCACAGGCGGCCTCATACGGCCTGTGGCGCGGCGCGAAGGCCGTATTGAGGCTAATCGTCCGAGAGGTTTGGGTGTGTCAGGTGACGCATGGCCTCCTGAGCTTGCACCAATGCGCTGCCTCGCTCTCATTCTAATGCATGCGATGCGCTCGCTCCACGGCCTGCAGCCGACGCGCGGCGCGTGCGCGCGCACGTCGACGTTGCACGCCACGTCCATCCGCGGCTCCAACGGCGCCAACGGGCCGTCGCACACGCCGAAGCAGGTCGCGAGCCATCCGCGCAGCGCGCAGTTCACGCGCGCCATCGTGCGCAGCGGCAAGCGCGGCGAGTGGCGCCGCGCCGTCGCGCTGCTCGACCAGCTCGAGCGGACGACGCCGCGGGAGCTCATCTCGGAGCGCGCGTACGGCGCCACGCTCATCGCCTGCGACCGCGCGGGCTGCGGCGACGGCCTCGGCGGCGCGCCGCGCTGGGCCGAGGCCACGGAGATCCTGGGCCGCTTCGAGCCCGACGCGTTCTCCGTCGCCGTCGCCGTGCGCTGCGCGGGCCGCGCGGGCCGGCCCGACGACGCCGTCGCCATCTTCCGGGCCCACGCCTTCGACGAGGACGCGCACGACGCGGCCGTGACCGCGCTGGCCCGCGCGGGCCGCTTCGACGAGGCCGCGGCCCTGTACGACGAGTCTCCCTGGCCGCCGAAGGTGTCCATGCGGCGCCGGACGAAGTGGCTGCGCCGGTCGAAGGCGCGCCTGGAAGCGCTCGCGGCGTCGGCGACGTCGCCGCAGGCCGCCGAGGACCTCCTGGCGACGGCGTCCCTGGAACGGGCGCTCGGCGACGCGGCGACGAACGGGTCCATGCCGAGCTTCGCCGACGAGCGCGCGCGGCGGGGCTACGAGCGCATCCACTTCGTGTCGCGCACGACGAAGGTCGCCTCCGCGCTCTTCTGCGGCGAGGACGGCTGGCTGCGCGCCGCGGTGACGAAGCTGCTGGCGCTGCGCGCGACCTGCGCCGTCGTGAGCCTCGGCGGCGGCCCGGGCTACGACTTCGCGGCGGTGGCGACGCTCGCGGACTACGTCGCGGGCGACACCTTCGAGGCGGACCTCGTCGTGCCCGAGCGCCACCGGCGCCCCTCGGCGGCGATCGACTGCACCGTGCTCGACTACGAAAAGGGCTGGGGCGCGTCGGTGGAACGCCTCGCGGAGGCCTTCGAGGGCTCGCGGCACGCCGTGTCCTTCGCGACGGCGGACATCACGGTGTCGCTCGACGACGGCGCGAACGCGGCGTTCCGCGCGGACGCGGACCTCTTCGTCGCGTCCTACGTCGTCGCGGAGAACAAGAACGCGCTCCGCGCGCGCGACTGGGTCTTCTTCCGCGACGCGTTCGCGCGCGCGAAGCCGGGCGCGCTCTTCCTGTTCACGGAGACGACGCACCGGCTCTGGCCCGAGCTCGCGGCCGTCGCGACGGAGGTGCTCGGCGACTGCGACATGTCGCTGCCGACGGACCTGCCGGGCCGGAGCGGGTCGACGCTCTTCGTCCGCAAGGGCTCGTCCGCGGCGCCCGACGAGGCCCACGCGGACATGTTCGCGCGCTTCGCGGACGACAACGCGGCCCACGAGCGGCGCCTCCTGAAGCCCGCGGGCCCGGGCGGCGGCCGGAGCCAGGTTCGCCTCGCGCCGTCGTCGAAGCCGCGCGGGATTCCGACGGTCTAAACCTTACTTGCCCGTCTTCCGGATGAGGTCCGCTTCCAGGCGCACGACCTCCTCGCCGCCGCGCTTGCACCAGGCTTGGACGTGGCGCAGGTTCGGCCCGTCGCGCTCGATGGTGTCGACCTTGTAGAAGTCGCCGTTGTCCTTGCGGTGCTTCTCGTCCTCGATCTTGATGCGCACGGCGTCGTCGCCGTCCTGCGTCGCCGTGTAGTAGAACTGGGGCGTCGGGTCCTTGCCGAAGGTGTAGGGCGTCCGCTCGCCGTCGAGGGTGAACCCGAACTCCGCCCGCCCGAACATGGGCACGGCGAACGCGCTCGAGTACCGCCGGTGCGGCGTGTGCGCGATGACGACCTCCGTCTTCCGCGCGGCCCCCAGCACGACCTAGAATGCTTCGTTCGTGGAACCACCCAAAACGTCGCGACCGCGCGACGCCGCGCGCGACCTTGCGGAAGCCCCAGGGCACGCCGCGCGCCTTCATCCAGGCCTCGTGCTTCCTCCTCGGCGGCGGCTGCCAGGTGTACATGCCCGCGAAGCCGCCGTCGTCGGACCCCCGCTCGACGTCGCGGACCATCTTCAGGGCCCGCGCCTACGGAGCACGACGGTCGAACGCGCCACGGTTCGTCGGACGCCGGCGCGCGCGGTGTCGTACATGTTGCGGACGAAGAACTCGTACTCCGTCGTCAGCAGGATGACGGGCAGCACGTGCTGGAGGTGCTCCTTGCGGTCCGTGATGGCCTCGAGCGCCGACGACAGCGCCGCCTCGCTGACGCCGCGCTCGCCGCAGAACCGCGACAGCTCCGCGTCGAAGACCTCGAGGTAGCGCTTGTGGACGGCGGTCCACTCGAGCGGGTGGCCGCGGCCGCTCCGCTCGAGCTCCTCGGCGTCCTCGAAGCCCGCGCAGTGCTCCTCGAAGAAGGCCTGCTTGACGGCGGTGATGCGCTCGGACGTCGAGTACTCGAGGAACTCGTGGACGACGTTGTTGAGCTCGTCGCCCTCCTTCGCCTCGCCCTTGGCCTCGGCGCCGTCGTCCTTGCACTCGCCCTTGGCTTCGTCGTCGTCGAGGCGCGGCATCGCCGCGCGATTCACGGGGAGTCCTCTTGCTCAGCGCGCGCTTTTATTCTGTCATACCTCGGTCCTGAATAACTCCCTCGATTCACCATCAACGATGCCGCGAACTTCGACCTACTGGCAAAGCGCCCGCCATGATGCGAGGTATGTTGTTGGGCCGCTGCCTCGCGGCCCTCGCGGTCGTCGCCGGCGAGCACTTCCAGGACAACTGGGTCATGCACCGGGGCGGCGCGTCGCTGACGACGGATCCGACCTACGCAGACCTCGCCGTGCGCATCGACTTCTCGAGCCTCGGCGGGCCGGGGCAGCGGCTCCTGGGCGGCATCTCCATGGGCTCGACGATCGCGCTCGAGTCCTTCGCGACGCAGTTCCTGCTGGACGTGTCCTTCGCGCTCGGCGTCGACACGGACCGCCTCTATGTCCTCAACGTCACGGAAGGCGACGTCCACTTTGCGTGGGGCTGGACGACGACGATCGTGCGCTTCCGCATGCTCGAGGAGATCAGCTCGACGGACGTGAGCGTCGCCGCCGCCGTGCGCGACTTCACGGACCAGACGCAGCACGCCGGCTCGAAGCTCCTCACGGGCAACGTCACGGGCGCGCTCGACCGCCACTGGGGCGCCGTCGCGCTCGACTGGGACATGTCCCTCCGATTGATGTACAGCATGGAGGTCGTGGGCCAGGACCTCATCCACCAGGCCGGCGAGGGGCGCACGGACATGCACGCCACGTCCGACGGCCACCGCGCCTGGGGCCACAAGACGCTGAACCAGGGCGCGACGCGGTGGTGCGAGGAGGAGGCGGCGCCGGAATCCGCGTACTGCGAATTCGAGCGCTACTTCGAGGAGGACATCTCGCGGGCGTTGGGCGTCCACCGGGACCGCGTCGAGGTCTTATTTATCCGACCGGCGTCGCCGGACAGCGTCCTCGCGCACTTCCGGATCTTCCCGACCACGGACACGGCTTCCGAGGGCAACGTCGTCGCCGCGGCCGTCGCGGACCTCGTGGACCAGGTCCAGGACGCGTCGTCGAGCCTCTTCGGCGGCAACGTCACCGTGCGCGTGGACCCGGCCTGGGGCGTGTCGGGCGTCGACGGCGCGCCGCGGACGACGTCGTCGGAGCACATCCCCTACGCGGCGCGCGGCAACGAGTCGCTGCCCTTCCACGGCTACGCGGCCCACGCGCTGAGCCCGGGCTACGAGCGCTGCAAGGCGACGCAGCGCTGCGCCCGGGGCTACGAGCACTACGACGTCGCGGCCGCGGCCTACTACCACACGTCGCAGGTCTACGCGGGCGGCGCGCACGTACCCGCGGACCTGTTCGCGGGCTTCGAGAACTGGCGGTCCGGGTCCCACGGCTGGGCGCCGCGGGGGTCGTCCTGGAGCGGGCTCAACGGGTCCGTGCCCGGCGGCGAGGGCGTCGGCGCGCCGCGCGGCGCGCATTTCGCACCGATGCGCTTCGACCGCCTCGGGCCCCAGATCCGCACGGTGGACGCCTGGGGCTGGTGCCACGAGCGCCAGCCCTGCGGGCCCTTCTGGAACGGCGGGCTCGTGCTCAACGAGCGGCAGCAGCACAAGGACGTCGTGCTGCAGGCCATGCTCGTCGAGAACGTCGAGGACGACCTGCGGTGGATCGAGTCCTGGGACGAGACGGCGTTGCTGGACGCCGACGGGGCGCGGGCGCGGGCGGACGTGCGGCGCCTCATGGATCACCGTGCGCGCGACGTCCGCGCGAAGCTCGAGGCCGAAAAGGTCGTGCTCGAGGACCTCGCGGCGTCGCAGTGCGAGAACGTGACGTCGTGCTCGCTGCTCTTCAACACGTCGTCCATGGTCATGACGGGCGCGTTGGAGGTCGTCGGCACCGTGGCAACCATGCCCGGCGGCGAGGAGGTCGCCGTCTTCGCCTTCGACTCCATCGAGCTCGGGCCCGAGGTCAACGTGACGCTCGTGGGCCAGCGGCCCCTCGCGCTCCTCTCGCGGTCGTCGGCGCGCATCAACACGTCCTTCGTCGCGTCGCCGGGCACGCTCGGCGGCTTCCCCGGCGGCTACAGCGTCGGCCGGGACCCGGGCGACGTTTTAGATGATGACCCGCGCGACGTGCCGCTCGGCGACCCGGCGATTTTGAGCGGGACGACGGCGTCGAACAACGTCAACGGCCCCGGCGCGCCGTCCGTGCGCGTCCACCTCCGGACCGTGACGACGCGCGCCAAGGACGTCGACGAGGTGCAGCGCGTGGCCATCAGCTCCGACGACGGCGAGACGCTCGGCGGCCACTTCCGACTGACGTACGCGGGGCGGACGACTAGGAGCCTCCACCCGGGCGTCACCGCCGACGCGCTCCGCCGGGCGCTGGAGGAGGACCTGAACCGGGGCACGCGCCGCGGCCGCGGCGACTCCAAGGCCCGCGCGGGCAACGAGGTCGACGTCTACGCGCATCTCCCGGGCGTCGGCCGCGTGACCGTGACCCACGCGCTCGGCGGCCCGCGGGGCGACGAGGACGACGCCTGGGTCGTGACCTTCACGTCGACGTCCGGCGCCATGCCGCTCCTCGGCGTCGAGTCCCACCTCACGGGTTTGGGCGCGCGCGCGCGCGTGTCGCGCGTCCGCCGGGGCAACTCGCTCGGCGGCAACTTCACGCTGTCCTGGCGCGGCGCGACGACGCGGGGCCTCGCCCACGACGCCACGTCCACGGACGTCGCCGCGGCCCTCGTCGAGGACCTGCCGACCGTCGTCGCGGCCGCGGTGTCGCGGTCCGACGCGGAGCGCGGCGGCGAGTGCGACGACGGCTTGTGCGACGGCGGGCCCTACGCCGCCGGCGGGCTGACCTGGTCCCTGACGCTGGCGACGCTGGACGACAACGCGAGCCCGCGGGGGCCGACGGACGGCGACGCGCTCGCGGACCCGGCCGACCCGTGCCCGGAGCTCGCGGCGGACGGCGCGGGCCTCAGCGGCATCAACGCGTCCGTGCAGGCGTCCCAGAGCCTCGGCGAGAGCCACCGGGACCACCTGCGGTCCCTCAACGGCACGGCGCCGGCCTGCGAGTCGTCGTTCTCCCTGGCGTTCGGCGGCGCGGGCGCGGCGCACGGCGGCCTCGGCGGGAGCCCCGTGCCGGGCCAGGCGATCCACGGCACGGACGGCGCCGGCGCCGTCGGCCGCGACGCCGCGGCGTTGTTACCGGACGTGTCGGAGCGGGCGAAGATCGGCGTCGCCGGCGGGAAGCGGCGCGTCGTCGCGTACCGCGCGCCCGCGACGATGGCGCCGCGCCACCTGAGCGCGGCGGACTACGCGGCCTGGCGCGGCGCCGGGCCCGACGCGCTCGACGGCGCGAACTTGACCGTGGGCAACGGCACGGCGCTCTTCCTCTCGGGCGACGGCGGCACCGTCGGCGGCGTCGGCGAGACGTACGGGTCGCGCGACTTCGGCGGCCCGGGCGGCCAGCTCCTCGGCGGCAGCGGCGGCGCGCTCGGCGTGAGCCACCCCTTCGTCTACGAGCGGCTCGAGCCCACGGACTGGGCCGGGCCCGACGGCGCGGACGCGAACTGGAGCGACTACGGCGCGCGGTTCAAAGCGCACGAGGACGTCTACCGGTCGGAGGCGCGCGACGCCCAGCGCGCGTCGCTCGTCGGCCGCGGCGGCGCCGGCGGCGGCGCCATCGAGATCGTCGCCGTCAACGACCTGCACCTCGGGGCGAACTGCCGCGTGTCCGTCGACGGCGCGGACGGCCGGTCCGCGCATTTGAGCGGCGGCGGCGGCGGCAGCGGCGGCAGCGTGCTGCTGAGCGCCGGCGGCGTGCTGACGCTCGAGGGCGACGTGAGCGCGCGGGGCGGCGCGGGCGGGCCGGCCCAGGCCGGCGGCGGCGGCGGCGGCGGAGGGCGGGTGGCGGTCTACGGCCGGTCGCTGTCGACGCGCGAGGCCTGGGGCGGCCTCGAGCCGCGGCTCGACGTCGCCGGCGGCGCCTGCCGCGAGTGGGACGCGGCGACGCAGTCCGTGCGCGCGGGCTGCGGCGGCAGGCCGCGGAACCGGGCCCGGGACGGCCGCGACGGGACGACGTACGTCGAGTCGCGCTTCGAGCTGCGCTACGACGCGTTGATCGACGACGACGACGACCCCGTCGGCGGCGCCTTCGGGACCAAGGGCGCGCTGCGCGTGCGCGGCCGGTCCCTCGCGGACACGGCGGCGGCGACGGTGCGGGAGATGCCCGTGCCCTACGACGGGCCCGAGTACGAGCTCGCCGCGCGGAACCGGCCGCCGCGGCTCTCGTTCTTCGTGCGCCGCGACCCCTACAGCCTGCGGGGCCCGGCGAAGCGCGACGCCGGCTCCTGGGGCGCCATGCTCGTCCTCTACGACGCGAACGCGCACAACGCGTCGCGCCCGGCCGACGAGGACGACGCGGACCCGGCCAAGGTCGGCTTCCCGGACTTCGCGTCGCCGCTCCCGTCCGCGTCGAACCCGCAGGGCGCGAACGCCACGGTGGCCGTCGGCGTGCTGCTCACGGACCGGCTGACGCACGGCTCCGGGTTCCGGGTCTCGCCGGGCGAGCACGAGGACGGCGGCGCGGGGCTGCTCGGCGGCCTGGGCGCGGGCGCGCCGGAGTCGACGCTGCTGCACAAGGCGCGGCTGCGGCGCTGGTACAAGGTCGACGTGTCCCTCGACTGGGACGCGGGCGTCTACGACGTGTGGGTCGACGACGTGCTCCGCGCGGACGACGCGCCGCTCGCCGCGACGGGCGTCACGCGCGTCGGCGCGTACGCGATCGGCGACGGCGGCGAGGCGCGCTTCGACGAGATCTACGTCGGGCCGGACCACACGATGGCCTTCCGCTGCCCGGCGACGACGCGGCGGGGCGTCGAGTTCGAGACGCCGCGGCCCGAGATTTTGGGCTGGGGCGTCGAGGATCTGGGCGACCGGACGACCCTGGCGGAGATGCGGCGCCACGACACGCACGTGAGCCGCCGCGAGCTCTACCAGCACTACAACGGCGACCTCGTCGCCTACGACGGCACGGGCCACGTCCAGTACCGCTCCGACGTCGTCCAGCGCTTCGACACGGGCGACCTGCGGGGCGGCGCGGGCGCGGTGAACGCGGGCGCGCTGCTGACGCTCGCGGGGGGCGTCGCCGCGGGCGGCGGGCCGAGCCGTTTAGTGGTCGACGCGGCGCGGTCGCCCGTGTCCGACGACGGCGCGTGGACGCTGGACCACGCGGACGCGGAGTTCGACCTGGGCAACTTCCCGGGCAACTACGGCAACTTCCCCCGGAGCGAGTTCGACGCCGACGCGCCCCAGCGGCTCGACGGCTTCGCCGAGTGGGAGATCAACGCGCACTGGTACGGCGGCGAGTTCCCGCGCGGCCGGCCGACGCCGACGCACTTCTGGTACGGCGAGCACGACGCGCCGCACGGCCCGCTCAACGACGGCGACGCGGCGCCGGACTGGCTCGCGGGCGGCGTCGGCGCGTGCTCGACGGACGATCTCGTGACGTGGAAAAGGGAAGGGATCGCGCTGCACTACGCGAACCTGTCGGACATGGTCCGGAGCCGCGACGACTGGCTCCCGGGCTGCGACGGCTACGCGACGATCCACGGCACGGCCGCGGGCTACGGCTGCGTCGGGTCGCGGGGCCTCCACGCGACGCGGCCGCGCGTGCTCCTCGCGGATCTGCGGACCATGCCCGACTCGCTGAACCCGCGGCCGCGGTCGCGGCCCGACGCGCCGGACGCGGCGACGGGCCAGGGCTTCGTCATGTGGATGGGCGTCGACAACGCGACGCGGGGCCTGGCGTTGGCGGGCGTCGCGTCGGCGGCGCACGCGGGCGGGCCCTTCGCGTTCCGGCGGAGCCTGTACCCGGACGGCAACGAGACGCGCGACCAGGCCGTCTGGGCCATCGGCGGCGGCGCGCCGGATTTGGCGTCGAACCCCTACTCGACGGCGCTCCTCGGGCGCACCTACTTCGCCGACGTCGAGCATCTGCTGCCGTCGCCCCAGATGCAACCCATCTGGGAGATGGTCAAGGACCCCGAGGGCCGCACGGACTTTGGGCTGAGCTACCACCGGGGCATCTACCAGCGCGAGTACGACGACTACCACGACATCTACCTCCAGCGCTGGCGCCTCGAGGACAAGCCCTGGGAGGTCTACTGCGTGAACCGCTACAACACCTCGAACAACTACAGCCTGCCGCGCGGCCAGTCGAGCGGCGCGAACTTCGCGCTCTGCCCGGACCCCGACTTCTACAAGATCGTGTTGGGCCAGGGCTACGACGACATCGAGAAGGAGGCCGTGGGCATCACGTCGCGGTTCAAGGACCCCCACGCCGCGAACAACTCGTACTGGCTCCCGGACAGCGTGCCCGCGGTCAAGGCGCAGCCCTGGAACCGCAACTACGTCGACGGCTCCTGCGGCATCCGCGCGAACGACGAGGACTACGCGCTCAACGACCCGGAGATCCCGAACCGGGACCAGGTCGACCGGGGCAACTGCTCGAACATCGAGGACAACCCCATGCACCCGACGATGCCCGACGAGCTCGTCGGCGAGCTCTACATCGTCGAGACGCGGCGCGCCAAGTACGTCGCCGTGTCGACGCTCACGCCCGATTTGCTGGATACGACGGGCGCGCTCGACGCCTTCGAGGGCGAGCTCGAGGACATGGATCTGGACGGGCTCATGCAGTCCTACGGCCAGTTCGACTGGTCCATTTTGGGCAACGGCGACCCCAAGGCGACGACGTTCCAGCAGCCCATCGAGGCGCCGGACGTCTTCAACCTCAAGCCGCGGCTCAAATCGGCGACGCGGTTCCACCAGTATCAGACGCACTACAACGACCGCGCGTTCTACTCGCTGTCCTGCGTCTACGACGGCACGTGCCCGGTCCAGTTCGAGGACCAGCTCATCGACCCGGAGGTCGACGCGACGGCCGACGACCCGACCATCGACTGGGCGACGAGCACGACGAACTACCACCCGGACGAGCCGCCGGCCTGGACCGTCAATCCCGAGAGCAGCTGGTCCACGGACCAGTGGCGCCGCGCGCTCTTCGGCGGGGGGGGCGGCGCGCCGGCCTCCGGCGCGCCGCCGGCCTTCGGCGCGCCGCCGCTCGACGACGACCCCTGGGCCGCCGCGCGGGCCGCGCGCGACGCGACCTGGGACGCCGCGGCCTCGGGCTACTCCTGGGGCGACGACGGCGGCGGCGGCGGCTCGGGCAAGGACCCCTGGGCCCACATCCGGAGACGGTAATGATGATGTCGGTGTTCTTGTTTTTACAACAAGCCACGATCGTGCGAACAGCGTCGGTTGCGGCGCCGGGCGTGTCGAGGGTCCTGCAAACCTCTGCACGATCACTGCGGGGTTGCAGCCGCAGATGATGCCGTCGGCGACTAGAGCATAAACATGGCCGACGACGCCTGGGCCGAGCTCTGCGCCGGCGAGTCGGCGACGAAGCAGGCGGCGGTCACGAAGCTGCTGCGCAGGCAGGAGAAGGCCAACGTCGAGGAAGAGAGGAGAAAGAACGAGAAGAAGGCGAAGAAGCCCAAGAAGAAGCCGGCGAAGGCGCCGCCGCCACCCGCGCCGCCGCCGGCGCCCGCCGCGCAGCCGGAGCCCGCGCTGTCGCCCGAGGACGAGAAGATGTTCGCGCACCTGATGGGCGACCCCGCCTGCGAGTCGTTCGTCGGCGACCTCCGGCGCGGCGTCCGCTCCGGCGACCTCTCCAAGGCCGACTTCCTGCGCGCGGCCGCGAGGCGCATCGCCGAGGTGCGCCGGCAGATGGCCGCGCCGCCGCCGCCGCTGCCGGCGCGCCTCGCCGTCGACACGCCCGCGCGCGTCGCCGTCGTCGCGAAGCGGCCGCTCGGCGAGGGCGCGATCGCCTCCGAGGCGACGGTCGCGGCGCTCGGTGGCCTGCTCTCGGGCCCGGCCTCGACGGACGAGTGCCGCGCGCTCTGGCCCATCCGCGGCCTCCCGCGGGACCCCGTCGCGTCCGTGACGGTCGTCGACAACGCGCTCTGCCTCGGGTTTGAGACGGATGCGGACGCGGAGATCTGGTGCTGGAAGATGAACTACGAGGTCTTCGGCAACGAGGCCGCGGGCATGCTCCACACGAAGAACATGGGCTACAACCTCTTCCGCGTGCCCGCGACGCTGTCGCACCTCCTCCAGCACGTCGCCAACGGCGTCGTCGTCGGGGAGGGCGGCGACCTGCGGCTCGCGCCGGGCGAGGCGGACAAGGTCGGCCGCTACGAGCCGGGCCGCGGCAGCTGGGAGCCCCTGTCCCGGTGGCTCGAGCGCACCGTCGACCGGCTCCGCGGCGTCGAGTCCTACGCGACGGCGAACACGGACGCGCCTTAAAAGTCACCTTACGCGGAGCACCGAGACGCGCGCGGCGCCGGCGAAGGACGCCTTGCCCCGGTTGGCCTTCCCCGGGAAGATCTCGCAGGCGTGGAGCACGTCGTAGCCCAGGCGGGCGAACGCCGCGTCGGAGTGCGGTTCCCGGTCGAGCAGCGCGACGGGCGTCCCCGGCTCCGACGCGGCCGCGAGATTCGCGAGGATCCGGTCGTTCGCGCCGAAGTCGTCGCGCACCTTCTCGCCCCAGGGCGGGTTCAGCACGCAGCACTCGGCGCCATGCGCCGGAAACGGCAGGCTGCCGTCGCGCTCGAAGACGTCCGCGTCGTAGGCCGCGAGGTTCTTCGAAGCGCCGGCGACGGCCTTGGCGTCGCGGTCGGCGCCGGCCGCCCGCAAGCCCCGCGCCGCGGCCGCGCGGAGCGTCGTGCCCGACCCGCAGCAGGGGTCGAAGAGCGACGCCGCGGGCGGATCGCGGCAGTCCGCGGCGACGTTGACGAGCGCCCGCGCGACGGCCGGGTCGAGCGCGCCGGCGAAGGTGTAGGGCCGCGCGTTCCAGGCGCCGTCGTCGCGCGCGGCCTCGTGCGCGACGGACCCGAAGCGCAGCGTCTCGTCGCCCTCGAGCACGACGAAGCGCGTGGCGCCCGGGCCGGCGTTCGACGCGCCGCCGAGCGCCGGCGGCGCGCCGCTTATTTGTTGCGCGAGGCCCAGCGAGAGACCGGTAAACCGCCAGTCCTCGTGCGCGCGCCGCCCGCCCGTCAACGTGCTCCAGAGCGGCACGTGCTCGACGGTCCACGGCGTCGCCGCCTCCAGGTCCAGCGCGCCGACGGCGGCGACGAGGCCCGCGGGGTCGTCGACGGAGGCCTCGGCGAGCGGCGCGACGGCGAGGCGGCACGCGCTCAGGCCGCGCAGCGCGTCGAGCTGGTTGTTGGCGCATTCGTGGAGCATGGTGTCGAGGCGCGTCGCTTCGACGCAGACCTGCAGCTCCAGCGCGAAGAGAGCCTCGTAGCGCGACCGCTCCTGGCTCACGATGAGGAGCTTCGGTGGTGCGGTCGGTGGGACGACGAGGCATGTGGTGCTGGCCAAGAGGAGCGAGAGTGGCACGAGTTTTTTCATTGTTGCGCACAAGCAGCGGCCGCTGCCAGCCTCGCGCCTCACACAGGCCGAGCCATGCTTCTGCCGCAAATCGCTGAAGTTTGGTGTCGCAGAGCACCTTTCAAGAGCCGCCGGCGGCACCGCTCGCGCGTACGGACGATGTTGCTCGCGCGCCGCGATGCAAGCGCCTGAGCGCGCCCCCTTGATGTCCACCGAATCCCCGCCGAAGACCTACAGCGACTCGCCGGGCATGGCCGTCGAGGAGGAGGTGAGCCTCCTGCGGCTCCTGGGGCTCACGTCCTTCATGTTCGCTACGGGCCTGCTGCTGAGCACCTACGGCATGATCACGCTGGCGCTCGAGTCGACGCGCCTCGCGCCGGAGAACTCGTCCTTCGCGCTCGCGGGCTTCCTCGCCATGGCGGGCTTCTCCCAGCTCGTGTGCCCGCTCGCGGGCTACCTCAGCGACCGCCACGAGTCGCGGCTCGGGCGCCGCGTGCCCTTCGTCGCCGGGGGCGCGTCGATCCTCGTGCTCGGCCTGGGCCTGCAGTGGGTGTCGCGGAGCGGCCAGCTGCCGGGCGTCGCCTTCGACGACGACGACGACGCGTCCGTCGACGACGACGCGGGCCGCCGCTTCGGCGCGACGCTCGTCTACGGCTGCTCCTTCCTCGCGTCCATGCTCGCGCTGAACGTCGCCTACACGGCGGCGACGTCCCTCGTGCCGGACCTGGTCCCGCCGCGGCAGACGGGCGTCGCCAACGGGCTCGGCGTGTTCCTGCAGGTGCTCGGCTCGTGCTTCGGCTTCCTCTACTACTTCCTCGTCGACGACCTCGACTCGCTCTACGCGCTCTACGTCGTCGTCGTCGTGCTGTTCACGTCCATCACGCTGGTCGTCGCCGTGCCCCGGGGGTCGCGGCCGTCGGACAAGGGCCGCGGCGAGCGGCGGCCCTTGCGGGGCGGCGAGGACCCGGAGGCGCCCGCGAAGCCGCCCTTCGACTGGAGCGCGGTCCTCGCCTGCTACTACGTGTCGCCGCGGGACCCGGAGACGCGCGACTTCTTCTACGTCTTCGTGAGCCGCACGCTCTACTACACGGGCGGCTCCGTGCAGGCGTTCCTCGTCTACTACCTCCGGGACCGGCTCGACGACGGCTCGAACGGCGCCGTCGACGCGTGGCTCGAGCCCTACGTGAACACGGCGGACCCGGCGCGGTCCACGTGCGTGCTCGCGCTCGCGGGCTACGTGAGCGGCGTGCTCGCGGCCGTGCCCGCGGGCGCGCTCTCGGACCGGACGGGCCGGAAGCCCGTGGTCGTCTTCGCGTGCGTGCTCATGTCGCTGTCCATGGTCGGCCTGGCCGTGTCGACGGCGCCGTCGGCCGTCGTCGCCTGGGGCCTCGTGGGCGGCTTCGGCAACGGGTCCTACCAGGCCGTGGACCTCGCGCTGGCCGTCGACACGCTGCCGGACGCGGCGGAGTCGGCGCGGTTCATGGGCGTCTGGGGCGTCGGCGCCTTCGTCGGCGTCTGCCTCGGGCCGCTGGTGGGGGCGCCGCTCCTCTACGTCTTCGGCCGCATCGGCGACCCGCCGCCGCCGGCGAACGGCGCGCTCGGCTACCTCGCGCTCTTCCTCTACGGGTCCCTCGCGATCTTCGCGTCCGCCGCGGTGCTGCTCCGCTACGTCCGCGGCGCCAAGTGAGGAGGGGGTGCGGACTGTAAACCTCCGATCGATCTCTGGCGGGTTCGTGTTGTGTCTTTACTCGCAGAAGTAGCCGCAGCCGTGACGTCGTAGTAATTTTGCTCCGAGCGCGGCGCGCCGCAGGTCGGCGTCGATTGAGGGGTACACCTCGAACCGGCTCGAAATTTGCTACAACTTGCCCTCTCTCGCGCGCATTAGGCGGCACGTACCTTGGGCGGGCGCGGGCACTGGGGGGATACTAAAGCCGACCGGACCCCCGGTGGGCTCCTTTTAGAAGAGCCTGATTGGCTTCTGCGCGATATGCCATCGAGGGGCTGCCGCGGGGCGAGTCTCCGGTCGATTTCGACGTGCGGTTCGGCGCCGCGCCCTGCGGGTCTCGCTCGGGGCGCGGCGCTCGAAGACCCCGTCCGATTCGGTTCGGGGGGCGCCGAGTTCCGGCTGCCCATCGACTGGGGCCGCCGCGCGTGAGGGTATGTTTGCCCTCAAGGGCAGGTTGCGAATCTTTCCAAATCATGCAAATTTATGACCCCACTCGCGAGCATTACCATAGCATTATCCGGCGTTCCTTGAATTTTGGCGGGTTGCGCGACGCGGGGCGCGCGCTTCCGAAGATCTACTTCGCGGGGCGCGGCGGGCGAGCCTCCTTTGACCTCCGGTGGCGCCGAGCGGCTCGGAAATCTCAGGGCCGGCATGGTTGGGTCATGCTTTCGCATCATGTGCTGCTGGCTCGTGCTGATGACGGTTTCAGGCGGGATCTCCGGGCTGCGGGACGCGCGCGACGGGCGGACCGAGCGGCGGGCGGGCGCCGTCTCGACGACGCCGTCCTTCGAGCGGCCCGCCGAGCGCGCCGCGAAGGACGCCGCCGGCTCCGCCTCGATCGCCGGCGGCGGGAGCGGAGACGCGGCCGGGGCGCGCGGCGACGCGCGGGACGAGGCGCTGGGCGCCGTCTCGACGACGCCGTCCTTCGAGCGGCCCCCCGAGCGCGCCGCGAAGGACGACTTCGGCTCCGCCTCGCCGATGGGCGCCGTCGAGACGTCGTCCTTCGAGCGGCCCGCCGAGCGCGCCGCGAAGGACGACTTCGGCTCCGCCTCGATCGACGGCGGCGGGAGCGGAGCCCCGGCCGGGGCGCGCGGCGACGAGGAGCTACAGCTAGTACAGCGGCTATTGTACAGCAGCTACAGCTACTTCTATAGCTTCCTCAACGAGGACGACGAGGACGACGAGGAGGTCCAGGAGGACGACGGGTACAGCAGCTACAGCTACAGCAGCTACAGCTACTTCTATAGCTACCTCGACGAGGAGGACGACGGGTCGTGCCCATCGACGGGCTGCGCTGGGAACTCATGTGACTACTGGACGGGCTACACGTGCGCGGACCTCGAGTCGTACGGCTGCAACTGCTACGGGTGCACGTGCGCGAACGACTACACGCCCGGTGACGACTCCTCGAACGCGACGCACCCTACGTATCAGCCCTCCCACCAGCCGAGTTACGAACCGACCTTGTCGGCAGCCCCGACGCCCAGACCTTCGCTCACGGCCGCACCTTCGGTCACGGCCGCACCGTCCGAGAACTGCCTCGACGTCGTGATGAGCGACTCCTACGGCGACGGCTGGCAGGGCGCGGTGTTGACCGTGAGTGACACCAGCGACACAGTCTTCTTCACGGGACGGGTCGACCACGGGTCGCTGCAGTCGGAGCGGCTCTGCCTCGAAGACGGCTGCTACCTGGCGAGCGTAAGCGAAGACGACTACCCGTTTGAAGTCAGCTTCGCCATCGACGGCCACGAGGGCGACGGCGCTCCCTACGGCCCCACCGCATTCTTCGTGTCCGGCGGCGCCGTCGTCGACTGGGGCTCTTTGTGCGACTCGCCGGCTCCGACGGCGACGCTCGCCCCGACCGCATCGTCGCTTCCGACGAGCTCGCAATCGTACTCGCCCACCTACGCACCCTCACTCTCGGCGTACGCGCCCTCGCTCTCGCCGACCACTGCCTCTCCATCACTGACGTTTCCTCCGACTGGCGCTCCGACTGCGAGAATGACAGTCGCACCGTCGATGACTATTGCACCGACGGCCACCTTCGCACCCACACGAACCGGATACGAATTGGCCCCGACGGACGAATTGACGCCTGTTTGCGTGCTGCGCGCGATTGCTGGCTGCTGGGGAAACTACCACTACTTCGCCGAGGTGCTTGCCAACGGGCCATTCGACGCCATCGACGTCGATAGATTCAGCGCGCCCGCGTACGGCGACCTCGACGGCGACGGCGACCTCGACCTCGTCGTGGGCGAAGAGAACGGCGACCTTTCCTACTACAAGAACGTCGGGTCCGCGGCGTCGCCGAGCTACATGTTCTTCTTCGACAGCGCGAACCCATTCGACGGCATCAACGTCCCTTCCAAGAGCATGCCCGCTCTCGGCGACATCGACGGCGACGGCGATCTCGACCTCGTCGTGGGGTACACACAGTTATATGGATCGGAGACGAGGGACTCCTTCCTCTACTACGAGAATGTCGGGTCCACAGCGTCACCGATCTTTCAAGCCGTCGCCGGCAGTACGAGCCCCTTCCACATGATCGACGACGCCGATGGCGCTAAAGGATCGTACAGCACGCCCGCGTTTGTTGACATCGACAGCGACGGCGATCTGGACCTCGTCGTGGGCCAATTGGACGGCCTCTACTACTACGAGAACGTTGGGTCCGTGAGGTCGCCGAGCTACGAGGCCGTCACCGGCAGCGCGAGCCCCTTCGACGGCATTGGCAACAACGGTAAAGTTATGTTCACGTTCGGCGACATCGACGGCGACGGCGACCTCGATTTCGTCGTGGGCAAAAGCGACGGCGTTCTCAACTACTACGAGAACGTCGGGTCCGCGGCGGCGCCGAGCTACGAGGCCAGGACCGGCGGCGCGAGCCCCTTCAACGACATCATCATCGCTGTAGAAGACGAGGAGGCTCATGGCAACGTCGCACCCACACTCGTCGACCTGGACGGCGACGGCAACCTCGGTCTCGTCGTGGGCAACATGGACGGCACCCTCAACTACTACGAGAACGTCCGGTCCGCGGCGGCGCCGAGCTACGTGGCCGTCACCGGCAGCGCGAGCCCCTTCGACGGCATCGAGTTTGTTGGTGCTTTCAGCGTGTCGGCGCTCGGCGACCTCGATGGCGACGGGGACCTCGACCTCGTTGTGGGTGAAGAGGACGGCGACCTCTACTACTGCGAGAACGTCGGGTCCGCGACGTCGCCGACCTACGCGGCCGAATGCACCGTCATCGGGGGCATTGATGTTGGTGGCGAATCTAAGCCCGCGCTCGCCGACGTCAACGGCGACGGACTCCTCGACCTCCTCGTGGGCGATCGCTTTGGCGGCCTCAACTACTACGAGAACGTCGGGTCCGCCGCGTCGCCGAGCTACGAGGCCAGGACCGGCAGCGCGAGCCCCTTCTATGGCCATGGCTACGGCGACGACGACGGTGGCGGCAGCGACGACGACGGTGGCGGCAGCGGCTTGTGTGAATCGACGTGCTACAGCAACACGTGCGACTACTGGACGGGAAACACGTGCGCGGAGCTCGAGTCGGACTACGGCTGCGACTGCTCTGGATGCGCGTGCACTGCCACTGGCGGCGGCGACGACTACTACTACTACTACTACTACGACGACGACGACGGCGGAGACGATGATGACGACGGCAGTGGCAGTGACGATAGCTCCATAGGCACCGCGCCCGAGTTCGGCGACATCGACGGCGACGGCGACCTCGACGTCGTCGTGGGCAAAGAAGACGGCACCCTCTACTACTACGAGAACGTCGGGTCTGCGGCGTCGGCGAGCTACGCGGCCGTCAATGGCACCGCGAACCCCTTCGACGGCATCGACGTCGGTACCTACAGCTCGCCCGCGTTAGTCGACCTCGACGGCGACGGCGACCTCGACCTCGTCGTGGGCGACCGAGCCGGCACCCTCAGCTACTACGAGAACGTCGGGTCCGCGGTTTTGCCGAGCTACGAGGCCGTCACCGGCAGCGCGAGCCCCTTCTTCATCGACGGTGAGCCCATCGACGTTGGTATTTTCAGCGCGCCCGCGCTCGCCGACCTCGACGGCGACGGCGACCTCGACCTCGTCGTTGGTGCGCGTGACGGCAAGCATCACTTCTTTCCCGCTGATTATTGCACGACTTCTTGTAACGGAAAGGGCCTCTGCGACGATTCGATTGGCTTCAGCGCAGCGTCCTGCAGTTGCCTCGGCGGGTATTCAGGCGACCATTGCGGCGAATGTCAGCGTGGCTACTTTGGCACCTCCTGCGACCTCTGCCCCGAAGGCGGCGACGAAAAGCGCAACGCTCCCCGTCTCACGGACACCTGTGGTCTCGCCGGAAGCGGCCGGTCGCGCGGCTCGTGCGACGACGGAGTTTCCGGCTCTGGGACCTGCACGTGCTTCAACGACCACTTCTCCGGGAGCGGCTGCGCGGAGGGCACGTGTCCCGCGGGCACGATCGAGACCGCAGCCTTCGAGGGGTATTACAACGTCGCAGAATGCACGTCCTGCGAGGCCGGCACCTTTTCGGCCGAGGGCGCCGTCCAGTGCACAAACTGCGGCGCGGGCTTCTTCTCGAGCGCGGGTGCCAGCGAGTGCGAAAGCTGCGCGCCGGGAACGTACTCTGGCAGCGGTGCCTCGGAGTGCGAGCCGTGCGCGACTAAGATGTACCAGAACAAGGCCGCCCAGTCGAGCTGCAATTTTGCGGACGCCGGCTTCTTCGTCGACGCGACGGGCGCCTCGAACCAGACCGCGTGCGATGCGGGCAAGTACAGCGGCTCCGGCGCGAGCGAGTGCGTCGACTGCGAGGCTGGGACGTACCAGGACGCGACCGGCAAGTCGAGCTGCCTGCTTGCGAACGCCGGGTCCTTCGTCGACGCGATCGGCGCCTCTGAGCAGACGGCGTGCGATGCGGGCAAGTACAGCGGCTCCGGCGCGAGGGAGTGCAAGGGTTGCGAGGCCGGGACGTACCAGGACGCGCCGGGCAAGTCGACCTGCAACAACGCCAACCCCGGGTGGTTCGTCGACGCGGTGGGCGCCTCGAAGCAGTCCAAGTGCGATGCGGGCAAGTACAGCGGCTCCGGTGCGAGCGTGTGCAAAGAGTGCGACAAGGGTACCTATGCTGCGGACGAGGGAAAGTCCGTCTGCACGCTCGCGGGCGCCGGCTTCTACGTCGAGGACGAGGGCGCCTCGAAGCAGTCCGAGTGCTCCACGGGCCGTTACTCTGGGTCCGGTGCGGACGAGTGCAAGAAGTGCCCCGCGGGGAGCTACACGGACATCAAAGGCCAGTCGAGCTGCTCACTGGCCGACGCTGGCTCCTACGTCGACGACGACGGCGCCTCCGAGCAAGACTCGTGTCCGACGGGCAAGTACTCGGGCAGCGGCGCGAGCAAGTGCACCGATTGCGACGAGGGCACCTATGCTGAGGAAAAAGGTCAAACGAGCTGCACGCTGGCAAGCGCGGGCTTCTACGTTGACGACGAGGGCGCCTCGAAGCAGTCCGAGTGCCCCGCGGGCCGCTACTCCGGGTCCGGCGCGGCCGAGTGCGAGAAGTGCTCCACCGGTCGCTACACGGACAGCAAGGGCCAGTCGAGCTGCTCGCTGGCGGACGCTGGCTTCTACGTCGACGACGACGGCGCCTCCGAGCAAGACTCGTGTCCGACGGGCAAGTACTCGGGCAGCGGCGCGCGTGAATGCACCGATTGCGACGAGGGCACCTACGCTGAGGAAAAAGGTCAAACGAGCTGCACGCTGGCAAGCGCGGGCTTCTACGTGAACGACGAGGGCGCCTCGAGGCAGTCCGAGTGCCCCGCGGGCCGCTACTCCGGGTCCGGCGCGGCCGAGTGCGATAAGTGCTCCACCGGTCGCTACACGGACAGCGATGGCCAGTCGAGCTGCTCGCTGGCCGACGCCGGGAAGTACGTCGACGACGACGGCGCCTCCGAGCAAGACTCGTGTCCGACGGGCAAGTACTCGGGCAGCGGCGCGCGTGAATGCACCGATTGCGACGAGGGAACTTACATCGACGAAAAGAGTCAAACGAGCTGCACGCTGGCAAGCGCGGGCTTCTACGTCGACGACGAGGGCGCCTCGAGGCAGTCCGAGTGCCCCGCGGGCCGCTACTCTGGGTCCGGCGCGGCCGAGTGCGAGAAGTGCTCCACCGGTCGCTACACGGACAGCGATGGCCAGTCGAGCTGCTCGCTGGCGGACGCTGGCTTCTACGTCAATGACGACGGCGCCTCGAAACAGTCGGAGTGTCCCGTGGGTCGGTACTCAGGCTCGGGCGCGAGTGAATGCACCGATTGCGACGAGGGTACGTACGCCTCCAGCGAGGCCGGAACGAGCTGCACGCTGGCAAGCGCGGGCTTCTACGTCGACGACGAGGGCGCCTCGGAACAGTCCGCATGCGCTGCGGGCCGCTACTCAGGCAGCGGCGCGGTAGTCTGCGAAGATTGCTTGACCGGTTCCTACGTCGACTTCGAGGGCGCGACGAGCTGCACGCTGGCGAGCCCCGGGTCTTTTACTGGAAGTCCCGGCGCCTCGCAGCAGACCGCGTGCCCTGCGGGGCGATTCTCGGGCAGCGGAGCGAGCGAATGCGACACGTGCGAGCCTGGCCGCTTCACGGACGTCGCGGGAGAATCGAGCTGCGCGCTCGCTAGCGCGGGCTTTTATGTGGAAGAGCGAGGCTCCTCAGCGGAGACGCCGTGCTTGCCAGGGACGATCTCGGCCTCGGCGGCGGAATCCTGTACGCCGTGCCCGGAAGGAAGTTTTGGTCCGCTCGAGGGACAAAGCTCGTGCACTCTCGCGGGCGCCGGGTCGTACGTCAGCGATGTCGGCGCTTCGGCAGAAGATGTGTGTCCTGCCGGGCGGTTTAGCGGCTCGGGCGCGACCGAATGCGCCCCGTGTGGTGTTCGCACCTACGCTCCCGACGATGGCGCCACCGCGTGCACGCTCGTGGACGCGGGCTACTTCGTGGACGCCGAAGGCGCATCGGCGCCGGTCGCGTGCGAAGCCGGCACTTACTCGGGCGCCGGAGCAACTGCGTGCACGCTCTGTGCAAAGGGACAGTATGCCGCCGCGCTTGGAGCGGCGACGTGTGCGACGTCGACCGGTGGCCAGTATGTCGGCACGCTTGGCGCGGTTTCACCGTCCACGTGCGCGTCCGGTCGCTTCTCTGGGGCCGGCTACAGGTTTTGTCCGCTCTGCCCTCTGGGCACGACAAGCGACGAAGGAGCCAGCAGCTGCACGAAAGTCGACGCGGGGTACGTCGCACCAATCAACGAGTTGTATGAGGTAACGACCGACTCAGCACTCGTGCTCTACGGAGTCGACGCGGCCGCGCTCAACGCGGACGAAGCTGCGAATCTCCAGCTTCAGGAGGCCCTCGAGACAGTGTTCGTGGACGACATGTTCTCCGAACTCAGCGACTCTGCGACGATCGCCTCCGTTGGGCCCGCCTATGAGACCGAGACTGGAGCCACCGTGATACCGTTCCAGCTGGCCGCAAATTACACGGCGACGGCTGCGGAGAACGTCACGCTCGTGGAGGCTCAACTGCTTGCAGACTTTCAAACTGCATTTTTCGAGAAGGCATCCTCTGGCGAATTGCTGGAGGCAATTTTGGGGGCGCGTCGACGATTGCGTCCGTCCTCAACCCGGGCGCTCTCAAGTTCGATCCTCGATGACGCGACCATCGACATGGACGCGCAGATAGATGAGATCGAGGAGGCGAGCACCGAGTCAGTGCAGATCACCGAGGAAGCGACCTCCGACGGCCAGTCTCAGTGCCCGGCCGGGACCTATTCGCAGAGCGGCGCGTCGACGTGTCTCGACTGCGACGCCGGGTCGTACTCGGACGAGCCGGGCCAGTCGAGCTGCTCGCTGGCCGACGCCGGGTCGTACGTGCCCTCCGCCGGCGCGACAGAGCAGCTCAAGTGCTCCGCCGGAGAATACACCGCCGGTCAGGGGTCGGAAGCTTGCACGGAATGTACGCCCGGCACGTACGTGGGCTCCGAAGGTTCGACGACGTGCGTGCTAGCGACCGCGGGGACAGCCGTCCAAAGCTCGGGCGCCACAGAAGAGATCGAGTGCCCGTTGGGTAGCTTTTCCGGCACCGGCGCTTCTGAATGCAGCTCCTGCGAGACGGCGAGGTACGCGCCTACCAAAGGCTCGACGTCGTGCGTCCTTGCAGCGGCTGGAAGCTTCGTGGACGCGGCCGGCGCTTCCGAGGACACGGAGTGCCCAGCTGGCACGTACTCGGCGACGGCGAGCTCCGAGTGCACGGCGTGCGACGTCGGGACCTATAGCTCCGCCGGGAGCTCGTCATGCACGTCGTGTGCCGCGGGCTACTCCAGCGATTCCACCGGCGCAAGCGAGTGCGAGGCGTGTCCTGCCGGCACCTACAAGGGCGAAGGCGAGGGCCAGTGCGAGCCGTGTCCTACCGCGATGTACACGGACACCGAGGGCTCGGCCGCGTGCGCGCTTGCCGACCCTGGCTCTTACGTCCCGGGAACGGGCGCCTCGGAGCAGACCCCTTGCCCCGTCGGGACGAGCTCTGGGAGCGGCTCGAGCGAGTGTTCGCCGTGCGTCTCGGGAACGTACGCGTCCGCTCGGGGTCAGTCTTCTTGTCGGCAGTGTCCCCCGTTCTCAACGACGCTGGCCGAAGGCGCCACGGGCTGCTACTCGTGCCTCGAAGACTACTACTTCTCGCCGTTCGCCGTCGAGCTCGATGACGGCGAATCCGTCCCGTGCGACAACTCGACCGCTCTCGCCGCGAGCTGCGCGAGCGACAGCACCAAGTGCTTCGACCAGTGCTGTCTGAGCTGCGAACGCGGCATGGACTGCGAGAACGCGACGTCCAACACGCTGACCGCGGTGCCCATCGAGGACGGCTGGTGGCGCGCGTCCAGCTACTCCGACGAAGTCTACCAGTGCCAGTACTCCGGAGCGTGCAAGGATGGTGCTTGCGCCGAAGGCCACAAGGGCGTTTTGTGTCGCGTATGCGAAAACGAATACCACCACAACTCGTTGCTCAATCGCTGCGTCGAATGCAAGGACACTAAGTTGGATCCGGTGACGATCGCGAGCGGCGTGTGTCTCGTTGCCCTGGTGCTGGCAATAACCGTGGTGGCGTTCCGGTCTGAAAAGAGGCGTGAGGCGCTGCTTCATGCGAAAGGGATAGCAAAAAAAGGGGTCGGAGGCCATGTCGATGCAATACTTGGAGACGATGAAGAGGTCGACGCTCCCGAGACGGAGCGACGCGGCGCTACCACGTCCGATGATGTAACTTCGACCGATGAAGAAGAAAAAGAATCTACGTGGGCTGAAACGAGGCGCTCGCTCCACACGAAGTTCAAGATTGTTCTCGGCGTGTACCAAATCCAAGACGCGCTGCCGTGGACGCTCCCCATGGTGTCGTTTCCCAAGGCCTTCGAGGCGCTCATCGCCTGGACGTCGTTCTTGGAATTCAACATCATCCAGATTCTGCCAATCGCCTGTCTGCGCCCCTTCAATTTCTTCGACAAGCTGCTCGCAATGACGATCCTCCCTATTGTCTTCTCGCTACTGATCTTTTTGGTTGGCGAGCTCGCCGCGATGTGCGCGACCACCAAAAAGGCGAAATCGATTCGGAGCACATCGTTCGGAGCCTTCATCCTGCTCACATTTGTCGTGTTCCCCAGCGTGTCCACGACGGTGTTGCGCTTCTACAACTGCGTGAGCTACGAGGAAGGCTTCTCGGACGGCTCGACGGAGACGATCGAGGTGCTCGAGGCGGACCACGACATCTCGTGCACGTCGCCGAGCTACAAGGGCATCTGGTCCACCTACGCGCTGGCCATGCTCTTCGTGTACCCCGTCGGAATACCGCTTCTTTACTTTGTCGAGCTCTTCCGGTACCGCAAGCACATCAACCCGGACGTCGACGAGAGCCGGCTTGGCGAGATCGAGGACAGCAGCGACGGTAGGCCTCGAAGCCCTTCTGCGGAGGCGTACAGACAGCTCAACGAGCGACTCCCTCTGCAAAATTCTTCTGCGCGAGACTTGATGAAGACGATTCTCGGCGCCGATGTGGTCTCCTCGGTGGAGTTGCAGGCACGAAAACTTGCGACGCGTAATGCGGACGAGTCGATCCATCACCTGCTGTTCCTCTTCGAAGAGCGCGCCGCAGCGTCTGCTGTATTTGTTGCCGGACAATTCGCGCACCAGGTACGAGCCGCGCTGCTACCAGTTCGTGGTCTTCGAGTGCGTCCGCAAGCTGGCGCTCACGGGCCTGCTAATTTTTATGTAGGTTCCCGGGTACATGAGGATTCGATGTACATGAAGGTTCGATGTAGGTACCCGGGCAGCGGGTCGCAGATAGCCCTAGGCCTCCTCATCGCGTTCCTTTCGATGCAGGTCTACACGTACAGCCGTCCCTACATCGAAGACGCCGACGACAACGTGTCAAACGTGGGCAACGCGCAGATCATCCTCGTGTTCATCGCGTCGCTGATGCTGTTCATCAAGGACATGGACGAGCAGGACGGCGCGCCCGGTGATATGTTCAAAGGTCCGATTTTTAGCTACGCCATGATCGTCATCGGGACCCTCGTGCTCGTCGCGACAATTTACACGATCCTCGTCGAGACCTGCGAGGTTGATCCCGAAGAAGTTATTCACGCAGGTCTGTCCCCCAAGAAGAGCAAGAAGAACGCGGCCGCCGACGACGTCGGCGAGCACGACGAGGAACAGCAATCAGCCAGTGAAGACCACGACCAGATCATTCCCGAAATCATTCAGGAAGCCGTGGACGACGAGGCCCCGGCCTTGCCTGCAGCCTGGCACGCCGCTTCCTCGTCCGCGGCCTAATCCCGAGCCGCGACGCGCCGCAGCCTGCCTACACACCAATGCTGCTGAGCTCAACCCCGCCGAATGCCTCGGCCTTATGTCTGAACCCGGACGCCAAGGCTCCCTTCGACCCAGTCCTCCAAGCCCTTCGACCCCGTCCTCCACGCCCTTCGACCCCGTCCTCCAGGTCCTTCGACCCCGTCCTCCACGCCCTTCGACCCCGTCCACCACCAGACCGGGCCCGCCCCCCCCCCCCCCGCTCCGCGGTCGAGGCATACCCCCGACCGCGTCTGAGCCCCCCCCTGCCTTTTCGCCTCGACCCCCCTTAACTTATTCCACCGTCGACGGGTCGTCGCGGGGCCCCGGGCCGGCGAACGGCGCGCTCGGCTACCTCGCGCTCTTCCTCTACGAGCCCTCCGCGATCTTCGCGCCCGCCGCGATGCTGTTCCGCCACGTCCGCGGCGCCGAGGAGACGCGTGTAGTGGGCAGCATCTTCGCTTCAACAAAGCTTTCTTGCTGACAAATTGAGGCAAAACAAAGCTGCTCAGGCCTTCCAGCCCCGACTGCCGGCGCCGGCGCCATGCGCGCGCTCGACATCGATGAGAACGCGAGCGACGGCGCGCACGAGGTCGTGCTCTGCGCGCGCGGCGTCGCCTACGCGCTGCGCGACGGCACGCGCCTGCTCGACGACGTCGACATCACGCTGCGGCCCGGCGAGGCCGTCGCTCTGATCGGCCCGAGCGGCGCGGGCAAGACGACGCTGCTCGCGACGCTCGCCGCGCGCGCGGGGTCGCGCCTCGTCGCCGGCGCGGTCACGGCGAACGGCCGCCGCTACGGCGCCGGCGGCTTCGCGGCGTTCGGCACCGTCGCGCCGCAAGACGACGTGCTCCTGCAGAACCTGACGCCGCGCGAGGCGCTGCGCTTCGCGGCGACGCTGCGCGGCGCGGACCCGAAGCGCGTCGACGCGCTGCTGGTCGACACGGGCCTCATGGAGCGCGCGGACGTCCGCGCGCGGTTGCTCTCGGGCGGCCAGCGGAAGCGGCTGAGCCTCGGCCTCGAGCTCATCCACTCGCCGGCGGTCTTGCTCGCCGACGAGCCGACGTCGGGCCTGGACAGCGTCGCTGCGGCGGCGACGACGCAGCTCCTCCTGGAGCACTCCGCGGAGATGACCGTCGCGGCCGTCGTCCACCAGCCGTCGATCGCCGTCTTCCTGAAATTCGCGCGCGTCGCGGTGCTCGCCGGCGGCCGGCTCTGCTACGACGGCGCGACGGCCGACGTCGCGGCCTTCTTCGGCGCGCCGGATGCGCCCGCCGGCCTGGTCTACGCGAACCCGGCGGAGCTCGCGATCGAGGCCGTCGTCGACGGCGCCGCGGCGGCCGCGTGGGCGGCGCGGGCCAAGCCCGGGGCGCCGGCGGAGGGCCGCGCGTTGCCGAAGCGGCCGCGCGTGCGGCGGGTCGTCGTGCTCCGCGCTTTAGTCGCGCGGGCCGCGCTCCAGGTCTTCCGGTCCCAGGGCCTCTTCCAGGTCTTCTCCGCGTGCGCGTCGTCGCTCTTCTTCGGCGTCACGTTCTTCCGCATGTCCAACGCGCAGCGCCAGGCGGACATCCGGCTGTCGGCGGTCTTCATGGCCGTCGTGCTCAACGGGCTCGTGCCGGGCACGCTCCAGTCCTGCTTCGTGCCGCTGGAGCGGCCGACGATGCGACGGGAGTACCTCAACGGCGTCTGGCGGTTGTCGGACTTCCTCGCCGCGCGCGTGCTCGTCGCGAGCCTGATGCAGGTCGCGTCGGCGACGTGCTTCGCGCTGATCTTCCACCACATGGCGCAGCTGCGCGGCCGGCTCTGGGTCTTCGGCGGCGCGATGATCCTGAGCGGCCTGCTGATGCAGCAGATCGGGCTGCTCCTCGGCGCGGTCATGGGCGACATCCTCAAGGCGCTGCCGATCTACATCCCCATCAACCTCATCGGCCTGGTCTACTCGGGCTTCTTCTTCACGAACCACAACCTCACGAAGCACGTGCAGAAGATCGGCTACCCGCTGTGGTACCAGTCGGTCTACCGCTACTCGCTGACGATCGTCGTCGTCAACGAGTTCCGCCGGGGCCGCTTCGACTTCTGCGACCCCGCGGCGGACTTCTGCCCGCTGTCGGCCTTCGACGACGGCAGGGACCGCGTCCGGCGGCGCGTGCTCCTCACGGGCTACCTCGACATCGACCTCGCCGACGTCGACGCGTACTACGTCTGGGTCCAGGTCGGCTACATCCTCTTTTTCGTCGCCGCCGCGCGCGTCGCCATCGAAAGGCTCGCGCTGCGGCCGTAATCAAATGGGAGAGACGTCGCGCAAAACATCTTACGCCTGGGCCTGGGCGAGGGCGGCCTTGACGAGGTCCGCGTCGACGCGCATGCCGAACGCGAAGGACACCAAGCCGGGCTTGTCCGCGAGCGCGGCCTTGAGCACGTCGTCGTCGACGGAGTCGACGGAGCCGTGGTGGGACCAGTTCAGCAGGTCCTCCTCGGCGGGGAGGCCGACCTGGGGCTTGCACACCGTGCAGCGCGCGGGCTTGACGGCGCCGCCGTCGTCGTCGTCGTCGTCCTCGTCCGGCTCGGGCGGCGCGTCCTCCAAAACTCGCTGGAGGTCCGGGACGAAGGCGGCCCAGGTCTGCGTCAGGCGCGCCTTGGCCGCGGCCAGCGCGTCGCCGTGGCCCGCCTTGGCGCCGTCGTCGAAGGGCTTCAGCAGGGCCTTGCGGACCTCCGGGATCGTCGCGGGGAGCGAGGCCGCGAGCGACCGGAGCGCCGTCGCCACCGCGTCGCCGGGCGCCGGCGCGTCGTCGGCGGGGAAGCGCACCTGGAACTCGTCGCCCGGCTGGATGCGCGCCGGGAGCACCGCGGACCGCGTCTTGCCCGAGGCGGGATCCGCGAGCGCGACGACGTCGCCGCCGCCTTCCGCGCGGACCGCGAAGAAGGCCGGCGGCGCCGCGCGGGGCACGTGGGGCGGGAAGGTCACGACGACGCCCGCGTCCGGCGCCAACCGCAGCACGTCGTCGGCGGCGGCCGCGAGGTACGCCGCGACGGCCGCGGACCGCTTCGGCCCGACCGCGTCCGCGTCGCGCGCCGTCCGCAGCGCGCGCGCCGCGCGCGCGGCCAGCGCCTTCGGGTCCAGGCCGCCGGCGCCGCAGGCGCAGCCCAGGCAGGCGTGCGTGTCCGACGTCGCCGCGTCGTCGAAGGCGAACAGGTTGTGGAGCTCGTCCGCATCGAACACATTAACCTGCGCGCGGTCCTCGACGACGCACGCGAGCCCCTCCTTGGCGAGCTGGCGCTGGTAGATCTTCTCCTCGATGGTGCCCGCCGTCAGCAGGCGGTAGGTGTAGCAGCGCCGCGGGTTGCCGTCGCGCCAGCACCGCGCGGCCGCCTGCTTGTCCGTCGCGGGATTCCACGACGAGTCGAAGAGCACCAGACGGCTCCCGCCGATGAGGTTCAGACCGCAGCCGCCGGCCGTCGAGCTCAATAGAAAGCAGAAGTGGTGCTCGCAGGCCGGGTCGTTGAACTCGTCGTTGAGGAGCTTGCGCTGCTTCAGCGGCGTCTTGCCGTCCAGCATGCACCACGGCCAGCCCTCGCGCGAGCAGAGCCGCGACACGAGCTCCAGGCTCGACGTCTGGTTCGCGACGACGACGACGCGCTCCTGGCCGCCGTTGCCCCGCAGCTCGCGCAGCAACCGGTAGAGCACGTGCAATTTGCCGCTCTTGCGCTCGCTGGAGAAGCGCGCGCGCGCGTCGCAGCCCGCGTCGTCGTCGAGCGACGGGTGGTCGCAGATCTTCTTGTAGCGGCCGATGTAGGCCAGGACGTCGGCCTGCTTCCCCGCCAGGGCGTGCTGGAGCCGCTTCTCGCCCAACAGCGCGGCGATGGCGCGCCGCTGCGGCGCCGCGGGCCGGCAGACGAGCACCTGCACGAGCTTCGGGGGCAGGTGCGCCGCGTTCAGCTTGTTCTCGCGGCGCAGCAGGAAGCGGCCCGCGATCAGGCTCAAAATCTTCTGCCGGTCCTGGGCCAGCTTGACGTCGCCCGGGGCCGCGCCGCGGAGCAGGCCCTTGGCGATGGGCGCGTCGAAGGTCTTGCGGAACGCGTCCGGCGTCCCGAGCACGCCCGGGTTCGCAAAGTCCGCGAGCGCGAAGAACTCGTCCAGGTCGTTCTGCACCGGCGTGCCCGTCAGCAAGATGCGCCGCGCGCACCGCAACGACCCGAGCGCGGCGCTGAGCTGCGTCTTCCGGCCCTTCAAGCGCTGCGCCTCGTCGCAGACGAGGAGATCGCAGGCCGTCGCGGACGCGGAGAGTTTCGCCACGTGGAGCTTGAGCGACTCGTAGGAGATCAGGAGCACGTGAAAGGGCCGCCCCGGCGACAGGAAGGCGTCGATGGCCTCGCCGACCTTGCCGTCGACCGCGCGGCAGTCGACGCGCTCGGACTTGGTCGCCGCGCGCGCGTTGACCCACTTGTCGAACTCGGCCTTCCAGTTGGGCACGAGGGAGCAGGGGCAGGCGACGACGATGCGCTTCACGGGGCTCCCGTCGCCGACGGACCCGCGCTGGAGCAGGGCGTAGACGAGCGCGACGGTCTGGAGCGTCTTGCCGAGGCCCATGTCGTCGGCCAAGATCGCGCCCTGGCCGCTGTAGTCGTGGGCGTACTCGCGCAGGCCCGCGACGCAGTCGTACAAAAACTGGACGCCCTCGCGCTGGTGGGGCCGCAGGAACTGGGCCAGGAGCGGCGGCACGACGACGGGCGCGGCCGCGACGGCCTTGCGCCGCGCCGCGGCGACCAGGGCGCCGTTGAAGCCCCGCCGCGGCGCCGGCGCCGGCGCCGCGACGGTCTCGCCGGGCTTGGGCGTCCAGAGCACGAGGGGCTCGTGGTCCAGGAGCGGCGCGCGCGAGCCCGAACCGTCGGGCGCGACGCGTTTCGTCGCCGCGAGCTTGAAGCCCGCGCGCGGCCGCTTCTTCTTCGCCGCGGGCGGAGGCGGCGCCTCGTCGACGACGGCATCGTTGTCGTCCTCCTCCTCCGCGGGGGGCAGGACCTCGTCGTCGTCCTCCGCCTCGCGCGCGGCCGGCGCGGCGACCGGCGCGGCCGGCGCGACGCGCGCGACGGCCGCGAGCTTGAAGAGCCGCTTCTTCGCCGCCGGCGCCGCCGGCGCCTCGAGCGCCTCCTCCGCGGGCGGCGCCATCTCGACGTCCTCCGCCGCGTCCTCCGCGGGCGCCGCCGCCTCCGCGGGCGCGGCGCGCGCGACGGCCGCGAGCTTGAAGAGCCGCTTCTTCGCCGCCGGCGCCGCCGGCGCCTCGAGCGCCTCCTCCGCGGGCGGCGCCATCTCGACGTCCTCCGCCGCGTCCTCCGCGGGCGCCGCCGCCTCCGCGGGCGCGGCGCGCGCGACGGCCGCGAGCTTGAACCCGCCGCGCCGCGCCTTCTTCGCCGCGACGGGCGGCTCCGGCGCCTCCTCCTCGACGACCGCCGGCGGCGCCGCCGCGGCCTCGAGCGCGCTCGCCGCGAGCGCCGGCGCCGCGGGCGCCGCGCGCCGCGACGGAATCGAGAAGCGGACGCGCTTCCGGCCGTCGACGGCCTTCCGCGGCGTCTTCGTCGGGGGCAGCGGGGGCGAGTCGGGCGCGGAGGACTCGTCCGTGGCATCCTTGGTCGCGTCGCCCCGGGCCTCGTCGACGGCCGCGGCCTCCGGGCGCGGGCGCGGCGCGACCTTCGCCGGCGCCGCGAAGCCCGACCGCTTCGCCGGCCGCGCGCGGTCCGCGGCCGCGCCGCCCGCCGCCGCGACGCCCGCCGCCTCGAGCGCGTCCCGGCACGCCGCCGCGGGCGTCCCCTCGTCCCGGCGCGCCGTCGCGGGCGTCCCCGCGCGGTCGTCGCCGGCGCACGCGGCGGAACGTTCCGCCGCTTCCGCGGCCGCGGTGTTCGTGAGCTCGATCCCGAAGACGCGGTCGTTCGGCGTGTTCGCGGCCGAGTTCGGCGTGTTCCACGGCACGCCCAGGCCCGCCGTCGGCGGCGTCAGAGCGAACGACCAGTCCTCCTTGCGCGCCACCGAAGCGACGGCCTTCGTCATGTCCTCGAGGAGGGACGACGCCGCCGCCTTGCCGTTCTCGTCGTCGTCGTGGCCGCCTTGGAGGAAGGCGCGCAGCGTGGCGCCGACGCGGTACTCGCGCAGGACGCTCGATTCTTCGATTGCTTCGTCGTCGGGGTCCATCATGTCACGCGTACAACGACTGACTTGTCCTTTGACGCGTCTCTAAACGTAGGGGGCCCGCGAGGAACCGCGGGGGAAGGCCTGGGGGAGGGGAGGCTCAAGGGGATCTCACAGGCGCGGGAGGTGCCAGTGGACGACGGCGTCCTGGCGCTGGCGCCAGTGCCGCTCGCAGTGGGGTTTGATGTAGGGGCGGACCTTGCCGTGCGTGTCGAGGAAGGTGAGGCCGCAGAGCCGGAGGCGCGCGTTCTCGCGGGCGCAGACGACGCCCAAGCGCCGGACGAAGCGCTGGCGGCAGACGGCCTCCGCGTGCTCGACGCTGATGAAGCCGTCCTCGGCGCTCGCCTTCTCGGCGAGCGATTTGGCGGCGAACGTGAGCACGCCGTGGACGTCCTCGGAGAACTCGTTGAAGCCCCCGAAGACCAGGCCGACGACCTTGCCGGCGTAGGCCGAGTTCAACCGCTGGACGAGCGGCCCGACCTGGCCCTGGGGCGTGTCGAGGACGTCCTTGTCGATCTTGTGCAGCTTGCTCTTGAAGTCGACGACGACGGACCGCGCCTTGCGTTCCACCGCCTCGCGCTTCGAGCCGTCGCTGTCCTTGTAGTGGGTCCTGCAGAAGGCCAACGTCTTGACGTCGCCGAGGACCGGGACCTCGCCCTCGTGCCAGAGCAGGTCGGGGACGACGGCCCGGCGCTGGCGATCGTCGAGGCGCGCGAGGCCGTCGGTGCCGCCGCGGACGGCACGGCCGCGGAGCAGGTCGACGAACAAGCCCGACGGCTGGTGCACCGCGCGGAGGCCCTGCGCCTCGCGCAGAAAATCGTGCAGGTCGAGCTCGAGCGCCGTGGACCAGCGCGCCCGCGCCGAGTCGCGGCTCACGAGCCGGTTGTTCGTGAAGAAGACGTCGCCGTCCTCGTCGATGACCGGCCAGTTCGCGCGGTCGACGCCGCGGCACGGCACGCCGACGCCGACGTGGGCGGCCATCGCCGGCGACGGCAGGGCCAGATACAGGGCCACGCACTCGACCCACTCGCGGTTGGGGATCTCGAGGCCCTCCATCGGCACCGCCATGATGAAGGCCCGCGCGCCCGTGTCCTGGGCCGCGGTGTGCGCGGCCCGCGGCCGCCACGACGCCGGCTTGGACCCGAGGTCCGCCTTGAGGACGCCGGCCCGCCGGGCCTCGATCTGGCCCGTGATGGCCCCTTGGGAGTGGCCCTCGTAGCCGGCGCCCGCGGACGCGGCCTCCTCCGCGAGCGGGCCGTTCTCCGGCGGGTGGCCGTCGTCGTCGGACACCGCGGCGCGGAGGCGGCCCCAGGCGCGGCCGAAGGCCGCGGCGCAGCGCGACGGCCCGTCGAGGAAGGGCCGCAGGTGCCCCTTCGTCCCGGGGTCGAAGCCGCGGAGGGACCGGAGGCCCGGCATGAAGCCGGCCTTGGTCCCGGTGGTGGCGCCGGGGACGGTCGCCGCGAGCGCCGCCACCGTGTCGGCGAGGGCGGCGCAGTAGGCGGCGTCCGCCTTGACTGACTTGTCCACAGGCCGGTGATCTAGGATGGGGGATTTAGCGACGACGCTCCTTGCGCTCGTGCTCAGCCTGAGAGCAGCTTGTTTTTACTCGTACTTGTCAGCTTGAAGCTACGTTGAAGTTAAGATGCAGTCCATTATACGCGTCTCCTTGGCGCCGCGGACGTCGCGGAACAGCATCGCGGCGGGCGCGAAGATCGCGAGGGACCCGTAGAGGAAGAGCGCGAGGTAGCCGAGCGCGCCGTTCGCCGGCGGCGGCCCGCGACGACCCGCCAACGGTGGAAGAAAATTAAGGGGGGGTCGAGGCGAAAAGGCAGGGGGGATACTCAGACACGGCCGGCGGTATGCCTCGACCGCGGAGCTGGGGGGGCAGGGCGGGCCCGGTCTGGTGGCGGTGGCGCATAGGCCGGGCGGGGGCGTTGTGGCTCGGCGGCGGCGGCACGCTCCTCGCGCGTGGGGTACCATGCGCAGTCGGGCACCCCGACTAGATTCGGCTCCAAACCCACGGGGCCGCGCGACGTCGCCTATAATTTCGGCCAATTGTCGGAGGTAAAAAGCGAGATCTGCGCGTCCCCGACGGTCCCATCGCCGCCGGTCTCCTGGATCTCCACGGGCTGCGGCTCCGCGCGCAGCGGCTCCGCGCGCGGCGGCTCGGAATCCGTCGCGTCGTCCGCAGGCTCAACGTCGGTTGTGGTGGAATGCTCCGCGTCTAGCTCCTCGGAGAAGGCTACTACAACATCTTCTATTCCTTCCGGCCTCGCAGCCGCGCTCGCCGACGACGGCGGCGGCGGGTCGAAGAATTCACTGAGAGCACTCTCTGCCAGGTTAGTTGGCGCCGGCGACATTCCAATGACGGCAGCAGACAGTCTCTGTGCTGCGACACGCGCAGCGATTTCGGGCTGAATTTCGCAGGTTTCGACGAGGATCATGTAAATGGCCGCTACCAGAACGAGCATCCCGATGATAACCATCACACAGGCAAAAAATGGGCCCCGGAATAACTCCCCCGGAGCGCCGCTCTGCTCGTCCATGTGCTTGATGAAAATCATCAGGGAGGCAATGAATACCTGCAAGTTCCATATGATCTTTCACAAAAAACGATATTAAACGCTGGACGAGGCACAAGAATGATCTGCGTGTTGCCCACGTTCGCCAGATTGTCGTCAGTGTCGTCGATGTAGGGACGGAAGTGAGCAACAAACTTCTCTGAGAGGACTGCGATGAGGAGACCGATGGCAATTTGCGTGGCCGAGCCGGCGAAGACGAAGATGAGCAACCCGGTCAGCGCTAGCTTACGGACGCACTCGAACACCACAAACTGGTAGCACCGCGGTTCATACTCCTCAAACAAGAAAAGAAGGTGGCGGATGGAGGGGTCCGCATTGCGTGTCAACAGCTTGCGTTCCTGGGTCTCTTCCGTCGATACCTCGCTGTGCCCTAGCAGTTCCGTCATCAAATTCCGCGCGGATGAATCTTGACGGGACAACGAGATCCGCTGGCTGAGCTCCATGTACGCCTCCGCCGATGGGCTTCGGGGTCGCTCGTCACTGGAACCTTCGATTTCGCTCAGCGGGTTCTCGCTGACGTCGGGATTGATCTGTTTGCGGTATTGAAAGAGCAAGACCCAATACAGAAACGGAATGCCAATCGGATACACGAAGAGCATAAACGAGGCATAGACGGTCCAGGCGCCATAGCTTGGTGATTCGCACGAGATATCGTAAGCGCTCTCTAGAATCTTCTCGGTCTTGGTGGAGCCGTCGGACTGTCCCACATCAAACGAGATGCAGTTGTAGTGACGGAGCACGGTCGTCGATACACTCGGAAATACGATGAACGTCAGCAGCAGGAACCACCCAAAGGAGTGATTCCAGCTTCCATGAGCACGATCTGGAGCATGAGACAACACGGAGAGCTTGGCGATGACAAAGATCATGATCGTCAGGCCAATCGGAAATAGCGTGACGACCAGGAGCTTGCCATAAAAATTGAATGATGGCTGCAGGCAGGAGATGGGCAGTATCTGTATGATG